AAGAGTTAGAAGGAAAATTAAGATTGGCATATCTCACTATCATGTCAACTATATCAACAAGAGACTAATGAAGGTATATTCATCTGTACATGGATGGTGGAGATTGACCGAAATTTCATCCGCGTTGATATTCCGGCCCAACGATGAACAGACTTGTCTAATGGTGGAATATTAATTCTGTTGTGACTTAAAACTTTAATTTGAGAAAATCCGAAACATACTATATCAAGTTTTATAATGACATGTCGACGATTTCAAAACATCCATTATACTAAAAATTAAAATTCCACAATAACTTTGTTGTTCAAAAAAAAATCAGATAAGACTTGTTCAGTCATTTCTACGTAACAAATAGTTAAATCTTTGTTTGGTATTTATAAGAACTAATGACTACTTCGTACATAATTGCCAACTGATTACGATTCCCAAATATAATACGTTCATTTGTGCTCGTCTAGTTCTGTCTTCCTTAAATTGCACTACTTCGGGAATTCCTAGTTAGCAAACTAATTCAAATACTTCTATCATACCTTCTTTATGATCTTCAATGTGATGTTTATAACACGAACTCCATATATTAATAAAAGCTACCAAAACTGTTTTATAGCTTTCTGTTTATTCACCTTTGATAGTGAGACTATAATTTAAGTACGACCTTTGCACAACGCTAGAGTGACCTTGAAAGTGTCCACATGATATCTAGGACGAAATGAAGGTTACAAACCTGTGCGAGGAATAAAGATTATGATTAACAGTTGATGGATGGAGTTAGGGATTAGATTTAGAAATTTCATCACGAATTGACATCAGCTAAAATGCCAAAACTCTATTGAGCCAAACAGATGAGTGCATTTTGCGTCCAAATCCTAGTTCTGTTATCTCATTCCGAATTGGTTCGCCCATAAATTATAATCTCGCCCCTTTCAGATGATGATTCTAATCGCTAATAAATTCAGATGGGAAAACTACCCACAGTTTAGTATAATAATAAGAAACAATTTGATGAAATGATAAACCAACGATTAGTTGGTAAATGAAGTCCATATACCAGAATAGTTGACTGGCTTTTTTACATTTAACGCTACCAAACCAGTGATAACAGCAAACCATACATATGGTAAAACCAGAGCGGTTCAAGCCAGGAAAATTCATCACTTGCATATAAGAAAAAGAATTTACATTCCAGAGATTCTCTAGTAATGTTGGCTAGTGGCAAACAGTGGAACTATGTAGGTTTCCTCCTATTTGGCACTCATTGGCTGGACGCACCTGTATCTCAGTGTTGATGTTCACATTCGATGCTCGTTAAAATAAACGAAATGAAAAATCGAACCAACTAAGACACAACTGCTTCTAATTACACATACGAGGCATTTTGGTTTGTTTTTGATATCGAAGGTTTTATTTTCTCTGGAAAGTTTACATTTTTGCTCGGTTCAGCTAGCCTTTTCCTTTGCAGAAGTTTTCTCTCATATTTCTAAATTTATGGATTTATATAACATACATATAACATTATCAACAGACTAATTTGATAAACTTTGATTATGCCTTTCGTAAATTCGCCACATAAGAAGACAATTGAGGAATAGTTTTGTAAAAGTCGTGTTTTTGACCAATTACTCAACGGCTTCTCTCAAACCACTTGTCATTCCATTCTATATATCTGACAAGAAATCACGTTAAATATGTGGAAACGGTTAGTAGAAAGCTCTGGATTGCGTTTCCATGTCTTCACGCATTTATCATAGGTTGACTTTAGTTTTGAAAACTGGTGCTACTCCAGTTAGAATACGTGGCAATAATTGAAGAACACCAAACATTATCGAAGCACATCTATCAACAATCAACATAACTGTCTTCGAGGTTATGTGATGCAAATAAGAATACCGTTACTGAGCAAATAATTACTAATAACATTCGTAGCCAGCATACAGTAAACGATATCTTAAGTAAGATGGTACAAGTGAACTTATCAACGATACATTGTTAACTACTTATAAGTAGACAAACTTTATATGCACAAGTTTGATCTATGTATAACACAGTCGAAGTGAGGAAGTATTTAAAAGACCTCTGCTATGTTGTGTCACGTCGCATAGAACTCTGATGGCTCTCAGAAGTATTGCAATGCCTAATCTAAAATTTTATGCTATGCAACTAAAATTCAGAAGAGATAAACTGGTCCGCAAGCTGTTAGTCACAGCCGTAGAAATATGATTTATTACTTCAAATACGAAAACTAATTTCACCAACTTCTACGAAAGTTTTGGTTTATGAAATCAATAAAATAGAGTAAGAGGAATTCGTTGCAATATCATATTCTGAGAACTTCATGCTACACCCAAACATTCAACACTGAATACATTGATTATTACACCAAATTAATATATTGAATTCAAGGTTTCAAATGCTTTGTTCGGGTTCATGAAATATAGTGGTCATTAGAGTTTGTTCATATGAAGTTACACAAGCATGGCGTTTTAATAATTATTCGAGTAGTTTATACAAAAACTTAAGTCTTACTCCTAAAAAACTTCAATATGTTAGGTTATTAACGGTCATTCACGAACAAAATGTCCTCTATACATTCCTAATAGTAAGAACCATCGTCCCGAATTACAGAAAGAATATGGCCTATTCCACAACTGTAATGAGTTTGCTTGAAATATTATTAGATAGATTAGTTCATCAGCATAGCCTTCTGTGATCTGACGAGGAAAAGTAGCACTAGTAAATAATGTTGTTGATGACCAATAATGAAGACGAAAAGAGAAAGAAGAGCCAATATATAAAAAAATAAGATAGGATCCTCAACATTTATATGAAGAGAAGGAACACATGCATTTCAGCCGCTACAGTTGATTTATCTTCATAAGTCATAGTCCCAAGGTTAAGAATTCACACCTTAACCTAAACACCTTATGAGGCATCCGACTCTACTGTCACCTCAGTCGCCATAGCACGTTGGTTTACCCATATATGCACACGTACCCAAGACCACAGTGAACATTTATAACTCAAACAAACTTTACCCTCCATATCCCACAACAACGTTTACGTGGTTACATCTCACAGAAAGATACTTCAGGTTAAAGCTGAAAACATTACAAAACCTTTGATAACTATGTTTCATAACCGTGAAGTAACCATTATGCAAATTGTTTGACACTCAATAAGACATTCATACATCTAACTGGCTGACAGATAATGAAGCTTAACAAAAGCCGAAGACATCATGAATACCTATCTCATATTTTCGCAGAACAAGAATACACTGGGGTTGTTTACTATCAGCAGAGCGAAGTCGTAAATCACCTTACACTTTATTTGGATCATAAAACGATGAGGACCACATATGAAGTAAAGATCTGCGCTTGCCAATAGATCCCTTACGACCCTAAGTTGCTATGGTTTTTATTCAACCGTAAATAAATCTGAATCTCAAGAAATGAACCTCAAGATCAACGAACCAATTAAAAAGCGGAAGCAGAAATTAAATCTTGCTTTCAGTCAATTAAAAAACAGCAATCAGAACTTACGGAGTAAACTAGTTCAAGTTAACAACTAAAATTTCCTTTAAAAGTCAAACAAGTCACAGCTTTCTCGAACAAACATGGCGTAAGTGGACTCCGTAAGCTTTATTTTTGTTCGAAGTTCTCGTTCGTGACAGGAAAAAGAGTCAAAATGAAAAAGATATAATCCAGTAAAGCTAAAAATACTACCTATTCAAAGAACATTCTGTTGAGTAATTTATTTGCCAAGTTAACAACGCATGGAATGTGACTCCTCACAGTTTGTGATATGAAATCAGCAATCGAGGACTCATCTGAAAACATCTTTTGAATTCAAGGAGCTTACTTAGCTTTTTCCAACTGAAGTTGCCTGGGACACAGGTGAGATGTTTGACTGGTAACCAAATGAGGGTATCCTAAGCAGTAGCTAGCTATTTTACTTTATGGCTACAAAACATTACTCCGAGAAATAGTCGGCATTTGTAAGAGGAAGTGTCTCAGAATCGAACCGACGCCACAAATTCTTTCAGACTTCTTCCAGAAGTTAAATTTTAAACTCATCCTACATGTTTAATTCCGCGAATACTTTTCAATAAAATTACTTAGACTTATTATACTTTACTAACGCTGATACTATGAATACTTCTAATACTCTAATACTCATATTAATGATTTAGCGTTGTTCCTCAGTCATGCTGAACTTGATCTCATCAAAAATCTGGGCGATTTCTATCACGTGGGTATCTTAGTATTCCGGCTCTGCGAACAAATAATGGCGATCAACTGCCGCAACTATGTTCAGACAAACGTTTATTTTTAGTAAGCACTAATTTTAAGCATAAGAAGAGTCGTCTAACATGACGACCACCTGCACTGAACCAACGTTGAACTCAAATAGACCATATTGATATAATTCATCGTTGGAGAGGCTCGATAGAAGATTGTTGATCGTACTGGAATACATGTTTAGACTCTGATCACGAGCACACATCTGGTTGCCCCTCACTGGACGCAGAAAAACTACACTAAGACACATTAGGATTGAACTGGATGACGAGAAAGCCAAGAGTAGGTTCCAGGAACAACTGAGTTCACATTTAGGCATTTTTGAAAACGAGACTGATCCAGATGTTGCTTGGAAAGGTATACAAACAGATGTGGAAACATCAGTAACATCTATTAGTAATTTAAACCAAAACGTTTCAAAAACCCAATGGATTCCTTGTAAGTCTATTTCACTGATGGATTCTCGTACACTTATCCCATCAGGCTCTGAACACGACGAAGAGCGAAAACAAAAAGTTTAAGGAACGATCGTGAGCAGTGAAGGGCAACGAAAAAAGAGTGAGAAAAGGCAGTGGCTGTAGGCAACTCTTCAGACTAATAAAAGAAACCGGAATTAAGAAGTCAAGTGTTACCGAAACAATCTAGGAAAAAGAATAAACCCTTATCTGCTCTCAACCGAAACGTCTAGAACGATGGGCGGCACACTTTAAGGAGCAGTTCAGCTGGTCTTTAGCTACTATACAACTAAACTACCCACCGTTCCCAGATAGCCTGAATGAAACATCGAAGTATGTCCCCAACTCTAGCTGAAGATCAAAAGGATATAACTAACCTGAAACGAGGAAGAGTAGCTGGTCCAGATGGATTGGTTCCAGAGGTCTGTAAATATAGTGGTCTAATTTTAGCGATTAGGCTGACTAATATTTTGGCTAAAATCTGGGAGTTGGACATAATCCCATCTGACTGGCCACAAGCACTGATTGTCCCAATATATAATAAGTGGCCAAAATCATCATGTGATAACCATAGAGGGATTAGTTTGACTAACATAGTATTTAAAATACTAGCCTCAATAATTATCGGACGCCTAAGACTCATGAACTGCAAACACGAGAAAATCAGGCTGACTTCAGACTTGGTTGTGGCTGCATCGACCACATATTCACTATTCGTTAGGTTTTAGAACACTACATGCTTATTGACGTCCGACAATGATAGTTTTTCTTGACTTAAAGCAGCTTTAGTCTGTAGACCGAGAGGCTATGTGGCAGTGTCTGTCATTCAAAGGTGTACATAAGAAACACATTACCTTGTGAAGGCTCTTTACTCGAACACTGCCAGTCATGTGAGAGCATATGGCGAACTGTCATCTGATTTTACAACCTTAAGTGGTGTCCGACAAGGCTGTCCATGATACCCACTTTTGTTTAACTTCATCATAGACCTACTGCTCCAAACAATTTACCCGTTGACTGAATTTTCAGGAATCGATCTCCTACCAGGAGATCCACTTATCGACATAGAATAAGCAGATGACATAGTCCTGTTTGGTGAAGAATGTGATAAATGCAGAATCTTCTGTTAGAATTGAGTAACAATGCCAGGATATCTGGAATACGTTTCTCCCCCTCCAAATGTAAATTGTTACTCCAGGACTGGCCTGCATCAACACCTGAACTAAGGATAGGGAACTAAGTAGTCGAACGCGTCGACAACTTCACCTATATTGGAAGTATGATCATCCCCAATGGGTTGGTCTGACGAAATCTTAGCACGGATTCAGAAGGCTCGTTTGGCTTTTGCCAACTTGCGTCACATATGGCGAAGTCGAGATATCGGTCTATTAATTAAGGGACGAGTATACTGCGCAGCAGTTTGTTCTGTTCTACTTTACGGCTGTGAAACATGGCCATTAAGAGTAGAAGATACTCGTAAGTTACTAGAATTTGACCACAGATGCCTCAGAAATATTGTTTGCATCTGCTGGGATCATCGGGTAAGTAATAGTGAGGTTAGACGCAGGGTATTAGGAAATGAGGGTAAATCAGTTGATGAGGTGATGAATCTTCATCGACTGAGATGGTTAGGCCACGTGTTATGTATGCCTGAACACAGATTACCACGACGCGCTATACTGACTAGTATATTGGGAATGGTTGGAAAAGTTAGGGGCGGCCAAACCAAAACGTGGCATCAGTGCTTGAAGTCACTAACTTCTAATCTGAGCCATATTAGTAGATGCAAACTACCTTGTTGGAGTCCGTGTGACTATTGTAACCAATGGTTGGAGACTGGGTGACATGGCTCAGAATCGACCACAATGCCCCCAAATGCCCTGGTACGGCCGAGAGTGGGGAGAGTCACCTCTCCCTCTCGAAATGCTCTCATATGGCCAGCGAATATATAAACTCTGCCAGGGAAGTCCTACTCACTAAATTCTCGTGGCATCACTGTTGTTTACGAAATTGAGAGGAAGAAAAGCGAATGTCCGGCGCTTTAACCGGGTTGGTGGACATGGAAAGTTCACCTAGGGGAGTTGGAAAACCCTGATTTCAAACCAATGGTGCACATGGGCTGGCTCCAGTATCTTGAGGGAACAAATAGCGTACGAATCAACCGTTGATCACCGGCTGCCATAGGACTGCATCTCCTCACGATGCTCCACTGCCTTATGGATCAGACATTCAGGTCAAAGGCTCCGGGTGTGGCCCCCTAAGAAAACCACCTGCTTCAGTCTGGGCACCTGGGCAGTATCTCAGCCCTCACACAAATGGAATGAGATTTGTGAGGCGCATATTTATCTGGTGCTTCCTTGTACCATTATTTATGTGTTCAAATAAATAAATAAATAAACTCTTTATCTTTCTCTAAACATTGAGATTGAAATGGCCTCAAATCTGTCTTTCTTTCTGTACTATATCCTTATATGTAACCTTTCTTTTATGTTACCATCACTAAATTAACTACTATGAATTTGGTGTTCATCTTGTGCTAATAAGGAATGGCAAACTGGACCGATGCATACGTGTGATTGGTCCTATGTTGTAGCTGACTGACTTGTCAAACAGCAATGCGATGCGGAAAACCACACTATGACATGATTACGTCATGGAACCTTCAAAAAAATGAGATACGGAATTCGCTTTCTGATTCGAAGCTACCACGCATGTTGAAGCACACCCCAACTACAAGAAGTCCTATATAATTTACACAAAAATGACGTAGGATGAACACATATTTTCCGTAATTTACCACGAGAAATCAGCAAATGCAGTAATTTCTAATTTTTGACTCCGTGGAAGACCATTTGATATTTTCAGCTAATGCGATGCTACTACTGGTCAATATAAACGATAGCCAGTAACGCAAGTGTACATCATGCTGTAACTTGGAGAATTCAAGTCGAAGTAGGAACTGCATTACCTTCCAAAACAATCGACAGTGCAAAAAGTGCAAATCTGAGAATATCACGAACAAAGAATCTTATTAAAAATCTTAAAATTTGAAAGTGTGTAGAAAAAAGAACAATGGGTATCCTTAAGATTCCAAAGCGAGTACAAAGCAGCTTAAACAATGTGTGAAGCAGAGATTTTAAGAACCAAACCGTTTATTCTGTTACTCACCTAGAGCCGTACTTGCCTCTCACGAGCCGGGTTTTTCGTATTGGCTGTTAAACATAGCATCTAGTGGAACTTAGTCACTAAAGTAATATCTAAAAAAAAACTACCAAGAATTGTGACCAACACAGTATAACACTGTACAGCACTAAGAGAACTGCAAAAGTGAGATTGGCAATATTTCAAGAACTGATGCGTGACTGACCCCTGAACCTTGTCTACCCTCAGGGAAGTTCAATGATAACACATTTTCCATAAAACATTAGAGCAAATTACTGCGTAATTGCGAAACCGATCGGTACATAGTTACTATATCATCGATGTGACAACTACTAGATATGTGCGCTAACATAGCAATCAGATACACAGGACAGGACCTAATCAGGAACAGTCTATAAGACGAGCTGGAATTAGAATGATCACGATAACATATCCAGTAGCTAATAAATAAGATGACAAAAATATCCAAGTAAATTTTATATTAAATTACACTGAATCAACTTTTGGAGGTTCATAGTGATCTGGGCGAGAAACAGTTTCCCCAGGAGCGGCTGATTTAGACTCGCCATGAAGCTCCATCAACCGAGCAACTAAAGAAGTGAACAATAACATAATTGAACTTACGGTCAGCTTTCGGTTTTTTAAGCACCTTGACCTTGCGAATAAATGTCTCACCAAGTGGATGTATCCACGATGCAGCTTTTCGTGCATCTTGAGCAATGGAGTCTGGGATACTGAAAAAGTTATCTAGAAATCTCTGACTTACAGCTTATTGACGACTTCTTTCAAATCGCAGGTAGAAACTTCCTGTTGAATAATGTCAATAAGACGTGCACGTATTCGTCTGATACGTGTGCTCTGCGCGTAAGAATGGAGTCTTTCGGACCGAGGCACACTTGGAGTGAACGTGATAATGAAGAAACGGAGTAAGTATCCGTCTGTTGTTTTCACATCAACATGTGCTTCGATTGTTGAACGCCACTTAACAACAACTGAACACAACTTGTCTCTAGTAAGTTCCAGTCCGTGAAAATTTGTTAGGCAGTGACGTCCCTGTACGTCTTCAACCTGAAGTTTAAACTTGCGGAAGTATTCTTCATTTTTCTCGCTGAGATCTCCGAGACTAAGCGTAACTACACGACCTTTAAGTGCTTCACTGGCTATACGTGTGCCTTGAGTTCGTGTCACTAGTGTTCGTGCACAAGTCCTCTTGGAAAACATAGCTGGAGCTTTAATGTCATACCACTCCTTTTTGGTGAATGGGTCGGACCTATAGAGTTTAAGCTTAGTTATAATTAAAGATCGTACGTTTTCTTCTTCCCTCCTTTCTTTCCTCCTTTAGTAACTTTTTTCTGACCGCCAACTGCCATTATAATACCTGGAGGTAAACCGTCGTAAATTTAACTCAAGATTTGAAGAAAGCAATGAAACAATTAAAACATGCCAACCACGAGACCTACCTGGGCACAGATACAACTGAGGCGCCTCGGTGCTGATTCCAACAAGGTCAGAAACCTTCAATCTCCAATCAATAGCTGATAGAGGTTAGGAATATAATGATGGCAAACTGAGAAGTACATAATTTATACTCCTAACGGTTGACTATTAACTACAACATGAGTCTCCTATTCCGAAAAATTACCTCGTGAAACAGGAACAAAATACTCAAATTTATTTCTTCTGTACCGGTCGATAAAAATTTTTCAAAATAACAGTAATATTCCTGACATCTCTAAGTATTTTTGAAACGAAAAGTGTTTTTCCATTTATGGCCCGTCCGAGCTAGCTTTCGGACATCATTTCACCTAAAACGGTGACTGAAAGCGATCTTCAGTGGAAATTTCCGTGTCGTGCATCAAAGAGATAGTGCTTACCTTCTCCGAACTATGGTGTGTGATCTCTGTGCATAAAAAACCAACAATATGACAACAGCTGGATGACCAACGTCATCCAGCTTCTACTGACTTTATTGACAACATTAACCTTATTTACTGTTTATGGAGTCAATTACATTCTGAAGTCAAGAATTTAGTGGCTGACGATGATTATGTGTATTCCTCTGTAAAATCGGATATTAGCTAGGAAACTAAGCCTCACTGAATCCGAGTACCCCTAGATCCACAGTATTCTCACTCGAATAAATTGGACGTGGTAGTAGTCGAAGTATCGAGTGCATATGAGCTTTCTTCCTTATCTTCTAGCACTGTTCGTTATTGAGTTTCCGTTATATGTAGTATTTGTTCGGTCTAATCTGAAAAGACTTCTAATAACCTGCTTTCTTTCAACACAGACACATATGACAATGATAAGTTAATTTTGTTTTCCTCTGATAATACCAGTTTCGCATCATTCAGCAAATCAACTGATTGTTAATCTTCAAGACGCGTTTGCTATTAGTCTCCGATAATGTCGGTTGCGATGTTACAACAGAAATAAATTAGTTATACTGACCATTTAATCACATAAACTGTCAATAGTACATGCTTCAGCCACATCAACAACATTTTTCCAGAGGATGATGTCTTCATTCTTTAAGGAAGATATCACTCTCCTGAACTATGTTCGGAATATAGAAGTGAAACTGTAACCTGAATTCGCAAATGAGCCAAACTCATTTCTCCTGATTGTTCTAAGATCATTACCTTAAAAGTTCAAAACGTGAGGCGATTTTAGCATAATGTGTTACTTTCCCCACAACCTTATTAATCCAGTTAGATCATATTGTAAGATCCATTTTGAAGGTGAAAATCCCTCCATGAATATATCTGCAATTTCTTCTCTATAGTTTCTTTATTTGTGTATATTGTTAACTTTTTTGATGCCAAATGTGACTGTAACTTTAATTTTCTCGGTTTTCCTATCGTTTTCATTGAGTTTCTATGATTCTTCTTGAACTGTATTTAATTTGTTTTAATTGATATTATTCTGGCGGCTGCCATATTGACTGCTCGCTCTTTGATTGTGCGGTTTGATTTTTACTGGGATCGTGTATTTTGGTTGCAAATTGGAGCACTTTCCCAGAAATTGAAACACTTTGTGTTATAAAACAGTTGCTCAAACGGAATCTTACTTGATCTATCCAGAAAGGATAGAATAACACTTACCTTTTGGTGTTTTCGGTAATTTTCATATATTTCTTACCACTTTGCAATTCATTGTAATTTAGATTGAATATTTTGGTATCAATTGTTGATTGAATAACTGGGTGGTAATATTTGTTTAGGTAAATTTGTACATTTGTATATATGATGAAATTTAGAACCGTTATTACCCCAATCGCTTTGTTCTGATTTCGACTGGGGTCTGCGAGTTTCTTCACCTTTACTAGCCAGTTGTTCAGTATTCCCAACCTAGTTGGAACTAGGTTTACATACACATATCTAGATTAAGTATCTAATAGTTCTCTCAACTCATGCTTTACATTTCCAAGAACCAACGTTAAATCCACTCTTCCATTAATCATAGGACCTCTCGAAATTACTTTAAAAAGCCAGTTATCCGTTTAAATCTACACTTGAATCTCATATAATGCCACTTATCCACCAGTGGTCTCAAACATTTTAGGCCTGAAAACCACATTGAAACATGATTCGGTAAAATCCTAAGCAGTCGCAGGTCACTCGAATAAAAAGCCTTGAACAACATCGGACTAGTGTGGTTTGTTTTCTCTTTTCTAATGGTTCACCATCTTTCACATACATTTTGCTGACTTAAGCTTCGTATTACCTCGTTACCTGTTGCCTAGTTTGTATTTGCAATAAGTCTACACTATTCTATCTACTATGGAAAGCTCTTATGTATCTATTTTCTGGACTGTTTATCTGTATTACTTCGGAACTTATATGAACCTCCGTAATGTGCAATGAGCTTTAACCGTCGGATATGCTTGTAATATATTACTCGCAAACCCGGTGTAACCCAACAATATATTGAACACCGAGCTCTGAGAAGATTAAATCACCCAAACAACTATCACTTTGAAAGTGCCTAACATCAGAAATGGAGAAAAGACGGAATAACTGACAAGCGAATGCGATGGTGAGAGCGATGAAATATGACCTACAGTATTCTGACTGAACCTGTTTGCGAGCCCATTTCACATTTAAACACAATCAGCAGTTCCCTCTGATTCCTAAACGTCTGAGTTCTCCGAATTCCTCCTATGCTCTTGTATACGATTTGCGTTCCTGCATCCTACACATTCCTACATAAACTTCACGCATCACGAATTATACCGTAACATCCATTTTGAAGGTTTTGTGTGTGAAAATCCCTCAATGCATACATATGCAACTTCTTCCTATTGGTTTTTTTAGTTGTACATTTATTATTTCTTCTGATGCCATTTCAGATGGCAATATTTTATTTTATTCTAGTTTTCTCATTTTTCTTTCGCCTTCACTGAGTTTCTATGTTTCTTCTTGAGCTGTACTTATGTTGTTTTAGTTGAGACTTAATCTTGACGGTAGTCATATTGATTGTTCCCTGTTTGATTTAATTGCTTCAGTTGGCTGAGATCGTGCATTTTGATTGTGAATTGAAGCACTTTTCCAAAATTGGAAACACTTAATGTTATAATGCAATAATCTATTATCTTTTGAATGGATTTTTACCAGATCTATTCAGTAAGGATAGAATAACACTTATCTTTTGCAGCGCTCGGTAATTTTCCTACGTTCCTTATCAATTTGTCTATTTATTGTAATTTGGATCGATTTTTCAGGGAACAGTTATTGGTTGAATAAGTGAGCCGTAATGACGTATATTTGTATTTATAATGAAATTTAGAACTGTTATTTTCCCAATCACCTTATTTTAATTTCAACTGGGCGATAACGAGTGATCAAACCACCCAGACAGTTATTCTTCAGCCAAACCTTAGTTTGGATCTTATTATACTGACTGTTCCTTCCATCTCAAATCATGGTTTCCATGAATTCACTACTTAACAGCCTGTTACTTGTACTCATTTAATTAAATTGTCACATTGGCCCTCATCACAGGTTATAATCTCCAATCAGACCTAGGCTCCCTTTCTTCACAGTTATACTTCTGTCCCCGTTCAACACCTTTCTGCTTTTATCAATCTATCATCAGTCGCTTGGATCGTGTATCCTCCAACTGTGGTCAAGGAAACTTCAAAAGTTCCTGTCTCTAAATGTCTAGTCCAGCTCAGTAAATAGCTAGATATAACATTACCACCGATGAGATTTCCAGCAGTTTTAACGAACAGTGTTACATGGAGCATCTGGAATCAAAGCATCTACGTCAAGTTTTGTTGAGCCCAAAGTTAACACCCTTGGAAGAATGATAAAAACGATCATTGCCAATATACGAACAATATGCGAAGTTCGCGAGCTGACATGAACATCCTTACCCTTCTTAAGCTTCACACTGAGCCGAATCTCTGCCGAAACCCAGACCAAATGAATGTGACATGTATTTATCTGAATTATGTCACATGAGAAGCTATAGGACTAATAAAACGATCCAGCAATGCAAGTGTCCTTCTCATGCCAGATACCCGTGCTCCAAAATCGATCGCACCTAACCTGTTTGAAGTCCATATTATGGCACTCATCATGTATTCGAACAAGATAATATGGAGTTCAGCTTCAAATCCATTCACAGATATTGCACAAACTCAATACCTCTGTAGAATCAGGCGAATTACTCGGATAAATTCAGACAAGTTCGGATTATGCTAAAAATTGCCTAGATAGATCACCATATTAGTACAACGTAAAAAGACCTGGTGGTAAAGACCAAAATCGAGGCCATTCACTCAGCTAAAGCATAGAGGCTACAAAGATGAGGATGGTGCTGATATATTCTCTGACTTAAAAAATGTACCACAATTTGGTAATTTGCCTGAATCTCATGAACCTCAGAAACCGAAGAAAATGACATTGATGTAAGCAATTTTTTCCAGAATGTCGGCTTATATATCTCGAAACTATGAGTAATTCCGTTTTTATTTATTCAGATCATGGCACTAAAAGCACACTCAGTTGTAACAACTGCGAATCTACCAAGAGCCAGGATAAAAACCAATATTTCCGATCAGTTGCATACGCAATTCAGAGAGCCTCCTTTTTCTGGCTACAAAGATGTCAACAATGTCCTTATCAGGTGTTAGACGTAGCAACAATCAGAAGTTTTTGCTATTTCGCTGACTTACCAGTAGCCAACAGTTAGTATAAAACAACAAATGACCGGAATATAGAATCTACTCGCCGTCCTAAAAAAGAAAACTGGTCAAAACTACCTCTTCTAAATTTCAGAAAACTAAAAGTCACAAACTATTCTTTGGCCTGCGGCCTCAATTTTAATCAGCTTCATAATCCTTAATTTACTCCCTGTTCCTTTTTAAACAAAAGTAACTATCTTAAGTTCATTTTGCTGATTGAAATTACAGGTGTAGTGCTACTTACATAGACACATTTTCCGCTGTCCTCAATGGATCGCACTTGTCCAAAGTCATTGGAGAAAATTTTAACCCACTAGACGTTAGATATGATTCAAGTTTAGTGTCAGAATGACCTAACGAGTTGACTGAAACAAGAAAACTTCTTAAGTGTGTAAAACAGGCCCGAACATCAAATAGGATAAATAATTTACTTGACTAACCATTTATGATAAAATTCAACTCTATTTCAACTAACCTCAGTCATGAATTCTTAATGAGCGATAACATATAGTATTACCCACGGGCTTCTCATGTTTATTTTGATTTAAATTATGCATATACGATGACAACTCCGCCTGTAGCTCCTCTGGGGGTTACTGCCGGTCCCAAGCCCGGGTAAAGGAGGAGGGTTGGGCATGGGGTTAGCGACCCCATCCCGTAGAAAATCAACTCGCTAAAAAAACGCTAACCAGAAAAAATCATTCAAACCATTCAAACTCTGCCCTGGGAGTAGAAGGAATAATGACGTCTCATGATGAAAGCCGAGTTCCTTCGGAAGTCATGAGGCCGATGCACCTTCTTACAACCAGAGCGACAATTTTTATAGGGACATGGAATGTCCGAACAATGTGGGAGACCGGAAGAGTTTTCCAAATTGCTGCAGAAATGAGAAAATACAACCTGCAGGTTCTTGGAATCAGCGAAACACATTGGACGCAGGTCGGACAACAACGTCTGTCTTCAGGAGAACTTCTGTTATACTCCGGTCATGAAGAAGAAAATGCCCCACATACACAAGGAGTTGCATTGATGCTGTCCACAAAAGCACAAAATGCACTTATTGGATGGGAATCTCATGGACCAAGGATCATCAAAGCCTCCTTCAAAACAAAGAGAGAGGGCATTACAATGAACATCATCCAATGCTATGCGCCTACCAATGACTACGATGAAGACGTTAAAGACCAATTCTACGATAGGCTGCAGTCGATCGTCGAGAAGTGCCCAACCAAGGATCTGACCATTTTGATGGGAGATCTCAATGCCAAGGTTGGAAAGGACAACACTGGATACGAAGACGTCATGGGACAACATGGATTGGGAGAAAGGAACGAAAATGGTGAGAGATTTGCAAACCTATGTGCCTTCAATAAACTGGTCATAGGTGGCACCATATTCCCACACAAAAACATACACAAAGCCACTTGGATTTCACCGGATCACATTACACAGAATCAAATCGACCATATCTGCATCAACAAAACGTTCAGGAGGACGATGGAGGATGTGAGAACCAGAAGAGGAGCTGATATAGCATCCGATCATCATTTGCTGGTCGCCAAGATGAAACTAAAACTCAAGAAGCACTGGACAACGGGGCGGACAACATCACAAAAGTTTAATACGGCCTTACTTCGAGATGCTGACAAACTCAACAAATTCAACATAGCCCCCAACAACAGGTTCCAGGCCTTTTATGATCTACTCAATGGAGAGGGGACTACCATGGAGAACAACTGGAAAGGTATCAAGGAGGCAATCGTTTCAACGTGTCAAGAGGTTCTGGGCCAAAAGAAGCACCACCACAAGGAATGGATCACTGTTGGTACACTGGATAAAATTGAAGCAAGGAGGAAGAAGGCAGCAATCAACACCAGCCGAACCAGAGCGGAAAAAGCCAAGGCACAAGCCGAATACACAGAGGCAAACAAGCAAGTGAAGAGGAGCATCAGAACCGACAAACGTAAATATGTTGAAGATTTAGCAACGACAGCGGAAAAGGCTGAAAGAGAGGGAAACATGAGACAACTGTATGATACAACCAAGAAACTTGCTGGAAATTACCGTAAGCCAGAACGACCAGTGAAAAGCAAGGGAGGCAAAGTAATCACCGACATTGAAGAACAACGAAACAGGTGGGTAGAACACTTCAAAGAACTATTGAATCGACCAGCTCCACTGAACCCACCCAACATCGAAGCAGCACCCACGGACCTCCCAATCGATATTGGCCCACCAACAATTGAAGAGATCAGCATGGCCATTAGACAAGTCAAGAGTGGCAAAGCAGCGGGACCAGACAACATCCCGGCAGAGGCACTGAAAGCAAATGTAACAGCAACTGCCAAGATACTACACATCCTCTTCAGTAAGATTTGGGACGAAGAACAAGTACCAACAGACTGGAAAAAAGGACTTCTGATCAAAATACCAAAGAAAAGTGATCTTAGCAAGTGCGACAGCTACAAGGGCATCACTCTCCTCTCAATACCAGGGAAAATCTTCAACAGAGTATTGTTAAACAGGATGAAGGATTCCGTGGACGCACAACTTCGAGATCAACAAGCTGGATTTCGTAAGGATAGATCGTGCACAGATCAAATCGCAACTCTACGTATCATTGTGGAACAATCAATCGAGTGGAATTCATCACTCTACATCAACTTCATCGACTATGAGAAGGCATTTGATAGCGTACACAGGACGACACTATGGAGGCTTCTTCGACACTACGGCGCGCCTGAGAAGATAGTCAATATCATACGGAACTCCTATGATGGACTAAACTGCCAAATCGTCCACGGAGGACAACTCACCGAGTCGTTTAAAGTAAAGACTGGTGTTAGGCAAGGTTGCCTACTCTCACCCTTTCTCTTTCTCCTGGTCATCGACTGGATCATGAAGACGTCAACATCTGGAGGAATGCACGGGATACAGTGGACAGGCAGGATGCAGCTTGATGATTTAGACTTCGCGGATGATCTGGCTCTTCTATCACAAACGCAACAACAATTGCAGGAGAAAACGACCAGTGTAGCAGCAGCCTCAGCAGCAGTAGGTCTCAATGCAAACAAAGGGAAAAGCAAGACTCTCCGATACAATACAATATGCACCAATCAAATTACACTTGACGGAGAAGCTTTGAAGGATGTGGAAACCTTTACATATCTGGGCAGCATCATTGATGAACATGGTGGATCAGATGCAGATGTGAGGGCGCGGATCGGCAAAGCAAGAGCAGCATATTTACAACTGAAAAACATCTGGAGCTCAAAACAATTGTCAACCAACACCAAGGTTAGAATTTTCAATACAAATGTCAAGACAGTTCTTCTGTATGGGGCTGAGACGTGGAGAACTACGAAAGCCATTATCCAGAAGATACAAGTGTTTATTAACAGCTGTCTACGCAAGATACTTCGGATCCGATGGCCAGACACTATCAGCAACAAGTTACTGTGGGAGACAACAAACCAGATTCCAGCGGAGGAAGAAATCAGGAAGAAGCGCTGGAAGTGGATTGGGCACACCTTGAGGAAATCACCTGATTGCGTCACAAGACAAGCCCTCACATGGAATCCTGAAGGTCAAAGGAGAAGAGGGAGACCAAAGAACACATTACGCCGAGAAATTGAGACAGACATGAGAATAATGAACAAGAACTGGGTAGAACTAGAAAAGGAAGCCCAGGACAGAGTGGGTTGGAGAAAGCTGGTCGGCGGCCTATGCTCCATTGGGAGTAACAGGCGTAAGTAAGTAAGTAAGTAAGTATATACGATGACCCCAACACATTGCCCTTTGTAGTGGCAACCGACGCTTAACGCAGTACCTCGAGGCCCTGCTCAAATATTTCACTTCATAAATTATTGGGATAAATTCCAGATTATTTTTAAGTCTCCAAAGCTACTTTATATTAATGATGTCAAAATCTGGAGTGAATTAAAAGAGGGTCCAAGCTGTAGACCGACCTAGATATTTTAGTTAACTTTCATAGACTACAGTTAATGCCTATTTACGCGATCACCTGTGTCAACACTCATAGTGAACATTAAAATGCAAATAACAACAGCATTGATAAGTTTATGTGCCTTCAGCCCCGCCTCATAGTGATCCAGGTGTTACAGAAAATCACGATCTTGAGACTAAGAACCACCGCTATGCGAACAAGGTCAGGATTGTACAGGCGTCTTAACGGATAAATACCAAGCTGAATATAAACCGTATGCACAGCCTTAGTCCTATCCTAACTTGAAAACATCTTTTTGGCTGTAAGTCCCTGCAAAAAGGTGATCCGAATATTTTGGAGAAGGCAGAGGAGAAAATGACTGGGACCATCCTGTAATTCCTAAGCATTGTACACGGTGCCGCTTGAGATGTTAGACATTTTAATTCTTCTGTGCTGAAGATCTATTGGTAATCTGATTTTAATGTTTGCAACATTAATATATAATTTCTCACATGTATCTTTTCTTTTCGTTTCTCCTACATCGAAACAACTCAAGGAACACTACAAACATTTTTAAAAGTCAATAAACAAAAAAACAGGATTTATCACAGTGTATTCAACTCTTTGAACTTACTGGTTAAGTCCACATATTTAATCAGCTTAATCAGGGGACTTGGCACACATATAAGTTTAAAAAAATAACACGGACTGTTGACCTCTTGCCCTAATAAGAAAATCTAAATACGAATCTTGTTTGAAAGTTGGAGTTTATAAGGACACTCTAAAAAGAACAAATTACTTGTAAGCTGACTTTTGACTTTCCCATCGAACCATCAACGAATGAAATTCATTAGCTCAGCATGTGGCTGAAGTTCCATCCGTCGACTCTTTTGAAAGAAAGTTGGGTCGACTAAGAGATCATTATTGAAGGACTAGCACAGACCATTAAGTCTCCTATCCTTTCCAAACTGAGACAGTTTGAGACTTGGATGTAATTGGAAATTGAAGACTGAGGGTCAACTTCATCAACCGCCGTTTTCATAATTTTGACTATAAAACTCATGTCCACTTTTTTGTAAGCATTCTAGTCTTATTGCATTTTAAAAGTAATAATTATAAAACTCTATTATGTTATTCCAATTAAATTTTAACTTAGGAATTTGGTGAAGTCCTCACTTAGCGGTAGTCTTATTTATGAAGAAACTTTAAATTCATTTTTAAATTCATAATTTCGGACCACTCTTTCCCATAGGTTCGTGTTTTCTTTGTACCATGAACGCCATTGCTTAAGGTTTTCTGCAACTACAGCAGTCATTTATTTTTATGAGACATAGTGCTTCATAAGCTGACTTCGTTTGTGTTTTGTTATTGTAACAGGACATTAGAGAATAATAATAGTTGTAAAATGCAACAATCCTTGTAGGACGCTAATAAATTACCCATAGTATTCCGGCGAACAAGTGCTGAAATGCAGCTGCTTATGATGCCCAATTTAATCGATATGGATTCGAAATAAATGGTTAACGTATATTCTGCCTTCGTCTCCCACTTTATGTGAATCTCTGGTTCCGATCATTCCATATAGGAATAGTTGTCAGTTTGTATTGCTTCGTGCGATTGGCGTCTTGGTAAAGATCGGTTCTGATTTCGAACGTCAGTAGTTCGGTCTCTTAACCAAAATAATAGTATTGGTTCTATTTGTCGTTGCAGTTGTTAATACTAGATGGCTTAACTTTCACAAAAACCCAATATTTTCGAGAGTAAAAGTTGGGATCTCTTAATCACTGTGACCGATTCTATTTATTTCGTTCTCAATTTCGAGAAAATGAAGGTGCTTATGGGTTATTCCTAACATAACCTCGTATGGATTTCACCAAATTATCCCACTTCGAGTACAGACTAGACGTTCGCTTATCCAACAAGAGCTGGTATATTCTGCGTTAGCCCACTCTATTGATATATATTCAAGAATACCCATCCGCTACACCAGATACATCTTTTACACATTACCAGTGAGCTATATTGGTTAGCGGCAGCATTCAATTAAAAAGTTAATTTCAGTCATGAACCTTAAAGACAGTCCAAAACTTCATGATATATTCCTTTTATTTTCATTTATTTTATAAACACAAACAATCGGTGAAATGAGGCATCAAATATATATGCACCACACTTCGTCATTCGAATAAGTGTGGGCGCTAGAACACTGCCTGGTTGCCCAATCCGAAGCACGTGGTCTTCTCAGAAGGCCACCCAAACCTTTGCCGCTACCTTGACGTGATGGTCGGGTTTGCCTATCGTGTTGAACCAATCGAACTATACTGGCTGGAACAATCGTTCCTCAAGGTCCTCCCATGCCAGACAGGTCGGTTAAAGGGCGGTAAGACTAAAAGTAGTAAATCCAAGGTCCGAAGACGAAGTCGTACTACTCACTGTACAGAGGTGCGATGGCAGTAGGGTGTTTCCCTCAGACAACCAGCATAACAGCAATGCTGTCTTCCCACAAGGAGGGGTGGGGTTAGAAAAGGTCGACCCTAAAAATGCACACCTCACCTTATCCCACAGATATCCGTCTCTGGCGGTAATGTTCCAACAAGTACGGAGCTAACACAAAAATTACCCACAAAAAGGTCGTGTATGACTGACCTCAAGCAGTTGTCCCTTGGACACTGAGGTCAAGCTCTAAGGTCATTAAGACCACTTCTAATCCAATTTTCTTTTCAGGTACCTCTAGAAGGACCTTCCCACGGTGTGGGCAACCGGGAAGTGATAACTGCCCTTATACCTCTAACAGCATTCAAGATCACTGTATTCATAATCAATCCTTCAATTCCTATTACTCCTCCCACCTCGACTTTCAACACTAAACTTCCTCTTTCGGCCGTGGCCAACGATTCCAGTGCGCGAAACACTGTCTCAGGTCTACTAAAACCTCGCTCCGAACTACACATTGGAGCTTTCAACACACACTGTGTCAAACGGCCAGCAGGCCCCCTTGGCTTAAACCCTAGAATCTCCTACCATTGATGTATGCCGTGTCTCCGAAACACACATACAGGATCCTAGTGTGGTCATTCACTTGACCTCACCTTGCCAAAATGGACAGCCCACGAAATACACCCTCCGTGTATCTGGCGGCCCTATGGCTAGATCTCGTGGAAATGCAGGTGTAGGCATAGCATTTAGTACAAAAGCAGAACAAGCACTAATAGAATGGATTCCCGTTAACAGTCGCCTGTGTGCTGTCCGGCTAAATGGCTTCGTAAGAACTCGGAAGAATAGGGACACACGTCGTTGCCTTTTCATCTTGGAAGTCTGATCAGCCCTAACGGGTTGGTGTCTGGCCAAACCTCAGCACGGATTCAAAAAGCTCTTTTGGATTTTGCCGACTTTCGTCACCTATGGATCATCGGGTAAGTAATAGTGAGGTTAGACTCAGGGCATCAGGGAATGATGGTAAATCAGTTGATGAGGTCATGAATCATAATCGACTGAGATGGTTAGGCCACGTGATACGTATTATTATTTATTTATTTATTTATTTAAACACATAAATATTGGTACAAAAACGCACCATATAAATATGCGCCGCACAAATCTCATTTGATTTGTGTGAGGGCTGTGATACTGCCCAGGTGCCCAGACTGAAGCAGGTGGTTTAATTAGGGGGCCATACCCCGATCCTTTGACCTGAAGGCCTAGTCCACAAGACAGTGGAGTATCGTAAGGAGATGCAGTCCCATGGTAGCCGGTAACTAACGATTGGTTCATACGCCATTTGTTCCTTCAGGATACTGGAGCCAGCCCATGTGCACCATTGGTTCGGAATCAAGGTTTTCCAACTCCCCTAGGTGAACTTTCCATGTCCACCAACCCGGTTAAAGCGCCGGACATTCGCTTTTCTTCCTCTCAATTTCGTAAACAACAGTGATGCCACGAGAATTTAGTGAGTAAGACTTCCCTGGCAGAGTCTATATATTCGCGTGGCCATGTGAGAGCATTTCGAGAGCGTGTTACGTATGCCTGGGTTTTGTAATTCTCCTGAGTGAATCCTCTCTATCCACTGTTTCGGTTAAAGTGCCAGATATTCTTCTTTCGTCCTCTGAATTTCGTAAACACCCGCACCACGAGAAGTAAGTGAGTAGAACTTCCTGAGAGTGGTTGTATAGGTGTTGCCATGTGAGAGCATTTCGAGAGGAATAGCGTATTATCCCCACCCTCGACCATACTAAAGTATTTTGAGGCGTCCGATCCTTTAAGAGATCTTAGATAACGTTAATTAAACTGGATTGTAGAGATGTTGACCTATCTTTATATCCTGCTGACTTTCGATCTTAATGTTATTTCATACCTTTTACTTCCTAATTTCACTTACTCCTCTTCACTACCGTCGATATCGTATTATTTGCAAGGTTTGTCTTTGTGATATCAAAGAAAGTTAAAAATCAGTGGGTCATTTACGATAGTAAAATAGTTTGTCTGTAATATCCCAATTACTAGTCAGCCAGTGATCTTGAGTACTGTTAGAGGTATAAGGGCAGTTATCACTTCCCGGTTGCCCACACCGTGGGAAGGTCCTTCTAGAGGTACCTGAAAAGAAAATTGGATTAGAAGTGGTCTTAATGACCTTAGAGCTTGACCTCAGTGTCCAAGGGACAACTGCTTGAGGTCAGTCATACACGACCTTTTTGTGGGTAATTTTTGTGTTAGCTCCGTACTTGTTGGAACATTACCGCCAGAGACGGATATCTGTGGGATAAGGTGAGGTGTGCATTTTTAGGGTCGACCTTTTCTAACCCCACCCCTCCTTGTGGGAAGACAGCATTGCTGTTATGCTGGTTGTCTGAGGGAAACACCCTACTGCCATCGCACCTCTGTACAGTGAGTAGTACGACTTCGTCTTCGGACCTTGGATTTACTACTTTTAGTCTTACCGCCCTTTAACCGACCTGTCTGGCATGGGAGGACCTTGAGGAACGATTGTTTCAGCCAACATAGCACGTCAAAGTGGCAGCAGCGGTCTAGAAATTAAAATCTATGTGGTTTAGGAGCTTAGTGTTAGTCTCTTCTAAAGAAACTGATAATCTATGCATCATTCCTCTGATTGTACCGTCGGTTTACTCTTGACATCTAGTGGAGTTTTAGTTCGATAGCTAATTCCCATTTACAATTTTCATAAATTCTACTCTGTTTCTGTCTGCCTGATACCGTCCGTATTACTTCTAAATTTCTTGCAGAATTTCAGTGAATCGATAAATGGGAAAGAAAAAGCTCAGTAACACACATCCTTCGTGTGATTTTTGTTTCAGTAAACATGGTTTGGAGGATCTGGAGTCATTATATCCCACACTCCTAAAAGGTAATCCTTTTTCCAATGGCTTACTCTTGCAGTTGCCGGATGTAATGAATTGCCCTTACTGGATTTATCTTCAATTCAAATGGATTTAGAACAAGTTTTGGCTAGCGTAGTAGAACGTGTTATTTGTCTTAAAGCTGAGTCTAAAGGGAAGGGTTTACCCGTTAATATCATTTCTTCACTAAAATATCAAAAAGGAAGCTCTGAGCCTGAATCCAATCAACAGTGTCTCTCAAAATCTTCGTTGGTTGTTAAAGCTAATCCCGACAAACCACTTACTTTAATAATATCTCAGCGCTCAGGTCCTTGCCCGAATTCTCAATCAATACTGCCTGCTATTTCTAGTGGACTTAGCAAAGTCAAACCTTCAGTGAGTCCATTCGGCTTGCGACGGTCCAGCAGGGTAAGATAATATTTAAATCATTCCATTTGTAAATTTCTTTCTAATGTTTCATAATGTAGCATTACTTTAAAATAGGACTTGCACTTTATTTCAGTGTTTCCTTATATGAGATTGTTAGATTTACTACAATGAAGCACTGATATATGTTAGTGAAACAATTCAGTAACCAAATACAGATGTGTGTACTCGTCTTTGACCCACTTTTTGTGTGAAAGCGGGCGATAATTTCGGCCACGCAATCAAATCATTTTGAAATTCAACTCATTGAGGGTTTTGCGAACTTCTCATTCCTTGCATACAATATACATCTAGTGATGTTATAACAGTTGACGAAACTTTGACCTTGGTCAAAAAGCTTGTTCACCTTTCATTAATATGTAGTATAATATTAGTTAGTTTTTGTCAGGAGCAAGAAATAAACTGAGTTGGTAGTTATTGATTTCAGTGAATAGCTTCTTTGAAATAGAGATGCAGTTGTTCTTGTTCAGTTTGTAGTGAGCGCAGAACTTCAGTTAAGTGATAAATGGTTGGTACAAGTTCAGATAATATTGTTTGTATTAATTGAATCACGGAAACGGAAAGCAAATAGATATATAGTAGAGTTGTTCCCAAAATTTAGCGGAAGATAATACTTTAATGTATCTATATCGGTACAATCGATTTTAAGTTACATCAATGTAAGGTCCGAATCTGCAAGAATAGAATATTATTTTAAATCATGGTCGATATCATTACTAAAACCGTTATCGGTATTTCATCACAAACGCTTACTTTTCGTCTTCTGAAACTGTAGTAATTAGTTGAATAAATGTGATAACTTTGCTACATATAATATTGGGACTGTTTTTTTCAGATATGGTGTACCAAAGAAATATTCTCGATTTGTGGTTTTTTGTTGACTTTGTTTTAAAATGAAGGCTGTTATAACTTATGGCCTAGTGGATGCCCTGTTAATGTATAACGTGATAAGATCGCCAATCAGAGAGCAGTGAATTGTCGTTCGGACCAATGATACACGAAACCCGTACGAGCAGTCCAGAGTACTTGTTGGTCCTGCTTTCTGCCTAGCCCAGCCAGTTAATTCCAGAGCATCAATAACAGCCTCTCCGGTACGAATCATTATATTTCAAACATACTGAGTTTATATACCAATCAAACTGACCACATTGTACCAGAAAATAGAAAACAACATTTGTACAAGATTCATCCAAAATTTCCACTCATTATCCTTATCGGGACACAACAAAGGCGATCCATCTACCTTTTCAATAGGGGCTATCAATCTTTATATTCCAACTATCACAAATTCCATTCTTTTAACCTGTGTTATGATGTATTTTCGATCACTAGAAATATCCTAAATGACAGACTAGTTTCGGACTATTGAGTAATGAAGAAAGCTTTTGACCTTTTGCTATTAATTAGTGACGACATGAAATGAACAATATTTTGTTACATTCTTCTATTCTACACTTTAAAATATGTGGGATCCGCTTCTTAGCCATTACATTCAATATATAGCTTGTTGTCCCGTCTTTGTTTATTATAACTTATTGGACTTCTACTTCTTCAAGTGAGGGGTGATTGAGTAATTGTGTTTTACTGACAGACTTATTTGATGAATAGCCTGTACTAATAACAATTAGGATTTTTACTATCATAGGAGCTTGTTGTACCTCTGTATATGCTTTTTTTCAGTCATCCGTTGAAGAAACACCTGAGCCGAATTCTCCCACATCTGACAAGAATCAGTTGTCTGCAAGGTAATGTTTTTACTGTTACAGTCATTTTCATATTACATTGTTGGATAATGTTTTTATCTCAGTTGGTTATCTATTCGATGAGTATTTCCTCGTGAGTTTTCAGTCCCAGGTATTAAGAAGAGGAACCTTAGCACCTTTTGCTAGACAAATTATTGATGTTTATATCCATGTTAGTAACTAGATGTCCTTCTGTTGGTCTATTTGGTACCACAAAAATACTACTCAGCATATTTCACTAAAGAAATTCTTTTTATTTGTTTCCTACAAATCGATCGAGACCAAACAAAATCCTCATGGTTATTCATCCCAATTCCAAATGTCCCATGGGTTTTCGGTTAAAAAAAGACTGATCTTATACTTACCTCAGCTTCTGAACTCCAAATTACATTATTCAGTGAATGTATATGAAATATAATAATGTAACCTCAATAAGTGTAACAAATGTAAAAATGACTTAATGTTGGCTAGGTGACGAAAGTCTAGGTCGTCGCTCGGATTTCATATGTATATTCAGTGACCAGAATCAATCGAGTTTTAAAAAAGATTTCTCTGGAGGGCTCCGATGGGTTTTTTATAGACCTTTAGTTGTGATTTTCTAAAGGAGATGAAATGTAAATACTCATGTCAAACACTCAGTCATGTTTTGCTACCATGTTTAGTGTGACCTCCATGACTTATTTCCTACGATTTAACTCTAAACTATTTAAGTCTTTATGCTATATGCCTTCAACCGGCCATTTCTACCTTTCCAATCATATATAAAACTAGCTTGATGATATATGACAAAAAGTATCACGATATTATGTATCTTAGACTGTACAACTTATTTAATAAATTAACTAAGAATATCCACATATATGGTTCTTTATTCCATTGAAAGAACTATTTTCATCAACCGAAAAGTATGCATAAATAAAAGTTTATATTCTTTTCTATGGCTAATTTTATCATTAAAGGAAGTAAACGAACAAAATCTTTCAGGTTAGTTTCTTAATTTTAATAGTTCCAGAAACAGCTACACATATCGGATTTTTATTATGCACCGTTTGTGTTTGAAAAAAACTCATACTAGCTACTGGGACTTACAAAGTAAACAAAGCAAGTTAGACAATAAATCAACATTCACGTTCAATTCCCTCTTTTATAATTTCTAAACTATGTAAAAAAAGTTTTTATCATCCTTCAAATGACTTATTTTTTCATTAAGATATATCATACAATCCTCTTTAGTTTTTTAGACATACCAAGATCACTAATTCTGTATTGTCAAATCAAAATACATTAAAAAGAGTACATTTCGAAACTGTTTAGTACAAATAAGCAAGACAATAACAAGAAGTCTCAAGGCAGTGGTTTTTCCCTCTCCATAACTCCTTCAAACTTGGAATTCAGATAAAATACGTTTATTTACCAACTGCGATATAACAGAGAAAATGTGTAGCTTGTGTGAATATGTTCAGTATTCTTGTGTACTGTAAATTGAATAGGTTTTATCGTTACCATACCTAGTTATCAGTGCCTACTTAACAGAAATGACAATTTTAAAAATATTCTATAAGTGTCACAGAAGAAACTATGTACTAACACTATTGAAGAGAGTTAGAACTCAAAGCTACACTCAAAAAATTAGTTATCTACGTATAATAATGTTAGCGGGATATAGATAGGATTAAAGCACGTTCCGTGCACGATTGTGTTGGTCAAGCTGATTAGCTCATTCTTATCCAATCAGCGCTAGTCGACACTTGGAGAAGACTCTAGAATATTCTCATGTAAAAACTATAAATATAGAAACGTTTCTATTATTGTGCTTCTTACTTCCATCTATCCTTGTTATTTGGAATATAATTTCGTTCCTGTTCAACCGTGTTCGGATTTGGGGACTTGTCGAGTGGATCGGTGTCCAAGAATACTAAGCAATAGGAATAGCTGTGTCGTAATAAGAGCAATTGTAACAGATAATCCTAAAATTTTTCTCTTTCATTTGAAGTAGACACTATCAGTCTTCTTCAAAATGATACTCAGAGTTTTTCAACTGAACTATGAAACTCAAAGAACACAATGTCATGATACACACAACGTAGAACCTGACACATGTGTATCGGTTCAAGTTATCATACCATATTAGCACAATAGCATAAAATTATCTAAATAAAAATCCTAGAGTAGTAGAAGTAGTAACAGTATCAGTAGTATTAGAAAAGAATAGGTATAGAAAAATAAAAGAAGTATAAGATTTTGTGACTCATGTTCTAGAGGAAGATATAGAATAAATGCAACTTCTTCATTGCAAACGATTCGTATCCACGCCTCTCAAAGTATCCAACTATTGGTTGCGATAATCACTTACCTTTCTTCTAACTTACTCCTATACTAGAATATCCTCCATCAAGAACACAACACTATCAAAGATTTACTCACTTGGAGCTAAATACTTATGCAAGTTGTGATTTTTCGAAACCTCTATCGTATATTCAGTTTTATTTCTAGATAATAACAAGTTCATTTCTTGGTTATCTTTTACAATAGCAAAAAATGAAATGCACTTTTTCGCAAATTTCAATTTCATTATCATTTAATCATATGATGTAAAACAGTAACTTAATAATCTTTTATCACTAACAACCGGTCACTTCATTCAAAAATTTAAATGTTTATAATCAAAGTTATCTAGTGATTACAACATAAAACTGTCACGTTTTAGTTATCTATCTACATGTTATAAGTTTTGATTATTAATGAAGAACTATGTGTATATGTATCACTTGACTCCTAAACTATTATTATATTTCATATTACCATGATGTAATATTGTCTAAAAAGTGCTTTGTTTAATCCTCTATAAGTATGTAAGAAAACTGATATCTTTGAAAATTTTTATGAAAATCATTTCTTTTTTAATGACATGTTACGTTTCTTAAACACTGTAATAGACGCTTTTTTATAACTGTATTTATTGAGATTCCCGTTGGAAACGAATATATTAGAGTAGACTATAGAATAACCGCTGTGTAAACTGTATAGGTAATAAAAACACTTCCTTTCATAATATAGTTTACAAACTGATTTGTTGATTGATTAAAGTTGTTTACATACATCAATGCAATATCTTGTATTCTGTTATCTTTTAATATTGTTTAAATCGTTCTTTATAGTTATGCCATTCCGAATAAATTCTGGGAATTAATGGAACCATATTGTGCTGAAATAACTGAGGCGAATGTCAGTTACTTAGAAACCCTTATCCGATCATATCAGCATTTGGAATCAATTTACTTTCATTTGCCTGTGCTTAGACAAAGTGAATCGTGTAAAAATGAAACCAACGAAGTACCAGGTAAGCCTTAATTTTTAATATGAACTATCCCCTTTATTTATTCAGTTATTTTTTAAAATATTTTCTTCAATTATCGATTTATATACGTTTCATTTATTTTTCATTTGACATTCTTATTATATAGTTGTTTCATCTTGGATGATTATACTCACTTAATATTTGTAAAGAACTAACTAATTTATAAACAGTATTGGCCATTAAATAAGGTTGTGACAAAACATTAACTCATTTTTTAAATGCAAAGGTTGATATGCTGGATGCTAAATCGATTCCGCGGTAACAAACGAAAGCCAATGACACGATAAGCTATTCTAATCTGTTGTCCCAGGCCCCGCTAACTAGATGAAGAAGTCCAAGGCAAGTAGGGGAATATATATGTATTCCGTAAGCAGCCGAGTACAAGCAATCAAATAAGGGAAAAAGTCAAGCGCATTTATACAGCAACAAATTGTCCTTGAGCATCATTAGTAAATAGCACACACAAAGAAACAATGGACCAATAGCGTTTAAGATAGTTTACAAGTGGGAAATATGACGTTAAGGTAAAAAGAGCGCGTTTGGCGCGAAAACAGCTAAATTCAAATTTCCAAAATGAAATTACAAAACTAAGCCATTTACCAAGTAAGTTCTGGGGATTTGACATCCCCAACAAAGGTTCATGTACTCAGCTTTAAATTATGCTAAGGGAAAGTGTGAGACTACTCGACAGCTCAAACGTAAGTTATTTTAAGGGGGAGGAGGCTGAAACTGTGATCTATTAGTTGAGTGTCGTAACTATGGTACTATCATTCCATAATGCTGTGGTAAAAAGCCATTGAAATACATACAACCATGATTAATTGCTTTCTTCTAGTTTGAGAATATTCAGCAGTACATAATTTAGATTCGATACAGTAGTTAAATTCCACGTTTCACAATATATTCACTCACTAATAAGCTATCATTATGAACTTACATAGTTAACACTTTTCAAAATAAAAAAAGTCTATAGTACAGTAATTATTTTCCATAATTATCAATGAATGACTTTTGCTATCAAATTGTCTGGTATTTAGATTGGTTACATCGTGAAATAAATATTTTATGAGCACATTATTTCCTTTGTTTTTTACTATGAACTGTATTGATTCTGTATTACTTTATACTTAGTAGCCGAGTATTTTAAATTGTCTGTGATATTATCTTATTTATAGTATCCATGCAATTCGAATAGTATATACAGGAAATTACGCTATCCTATGAAACCAGTTGTTAGATCATATTGGCGTCACCATATTTTTGTCTCTTATTTTCAACATAACATAATAATTCTAATTTGTTTTTCTTATCAGCTTGCAAAAGACTTCGGCGTGGTTCTCAAATTTTTCAACAGGCCACTACAGACGAATCATCATGCTCATTGAATAACTGCAATTCGTCTATGTCCTCATCTCAATTGCTCAATGTAACTAAATACTTGGAAACAGAGCTCAAGTAAGTGTAACACAAATGAAAGTAGATAGTTCATATAATTGTCGTTCTGATCCGACTGTTTCAACGTTTTAGACGTATACATGCCTGTTGTTAAAAGTCACTTATTCAGTAGTTATATCAGTAGTTAATAGTCAGTAACTCCTTTTTTGTAGCTCTAAGATGAAGTTACTAATACTTTAATTCAGTCATATAATGACAACACTTTTCTGCAGAAATAACCTTGTTTAAACTTTTTAGCCGAATTCTCATTGACTGTTAAACCTTGTGTGGGATCCTGTCCATATTCACCAGTGAATGATTGTCCGCTCTAGTTTCTTTTTACGTGAATTAATACGTTTGAGAAAAAGTACTAAAAAATAGAATCTAATCAAAACTATAAGTTTTCTAGTTTTAATAACAAAGCAGTAACGTGACCTCGCAACTAGTGGAACTAAATGTCTTGTCATACACAGATGCATTTGATCTTTGTTTTTTCAGTATTTCTTTTGATGTATGATTTCCATGTTTATTTTTGTACCGCCAATTATATTATTATTTCGACTCTTACTTTTCACTGTATTTGTATCAGGTCTTAAGTAGTCATTTGAACAACTGTATTTTATTAAGTTCCTGTATTTTATTTGTATAATTACATGAGTTATATATTAACAGTAATAAAAAAGATTGTTACTAATCTAGCATTCTATTCTTCTAACCCAAGATTTAGGAAATTAGAAATCTCTGTGGTGCATTTATCTTTTGAAGAGGTACAGTACATATGTTATAATGACAATTATTATTAGCATAGGAGACATAATACTCTCTTCCTTATATTATTAGAGGTCTACACATGAGAAGAAAATATGATCGTGTGCTGTTTACATGACATGTTTGGTTAACTACAAATACAATCAATTTCACTCATTATGTATAATTAGATATAATTTTTGAGGAAGTCAAGTATTTTTGAAATTATAGACATCTTTACAGGTGACACTCCGGTCATTTTCTTTCTGAATCACTAACTGACACCAGCTGGGAGAGCTGATGTTTAGTCCTAGTTTGTATCTTTTCAGCAGTGCTCATATGCTATCGTCCGCATGACCTGTGGATAACTGGATACTCAATTGTTCACATTTTCAACTTAGGTCCATTCGCGGTATTAAGCGATCCTCAACCAATATCATTGTTAAGTTATTTCCGTACTCTTAGGTTGGTTAAGGAAAGAAGTCCTAAACTAAAGGGAAGCAGCTGTCTAGTGCTCCTTGGTCTCTTTCTGATGACAAGAAGTCTTTAAAAACACCACATAAACAAGTTAATGCTCTTCACCATATCCATAAATTGAAGTCAGAGTTTCGACGTGTTTTTCGATATACAAACAAGCTACTCATTCTCCCATATGTTTGTTTTTCTGAATAGATTTGTTTCAATATTCATCAATCCTTTGATACATAACTTGTGATTACTATCTTCTTAAATCATTTATCATATATGATCAATAAATCGTATAATTATCGTTGTTTATTGGATATTATTACTCATTTCAGAAAGCCAGTCCCTGAATCTTCTATGTTAAATAAAATATCTCAGTCCCTTTTGGAATCTTGTTATCAAGACGATATATTGTCAAATTTTAGTGGAAAATTAAATTTCACTACACATCAAGGTAGGTATCTATTTTTATATCTTTAATTAATTTCAACTATTCATTTGTAAACTACGCTACGACAAATTTGCCTAGTATTAATAATAGTTCTTATGTGCAACAAATATCTATTTTATTATTTATTTATTCGTTTAAACACATAAACATTGGTACAAGTAGGCATCAAATATGCATGCACCACACTTCGTCATCCGATTCATGTGAGGACTGGAACACTGCCTGGTTGCCTAATCCGAAGCAGGTGGTCTTCTCAGAAGGCCACTCCCCAAACCTCTGACCTAGAAATCCAATCCACTAGGCATTGGATCAACATTAGGAGATGCGGTCCCATGGTAGTCGGTGACTAACAATAGGTTCGTGTGCCATTTGTTCTCTCTGGATCGTGGAGCGTATGTGGACGATTGGTTTAGAATCAGGGTTTTCTTATTCTCCTGAGTGGATCCTCTCTATCCACTGTTTAGGTTAAAGTGTTGGACGTTCTCCTTTCGTCCTCTGAATTTCCTAAACAATGCCTGTACTACGAGAAGTAAGTGAGTAGGACTTCCTGAGAGTGGTTGTATAGGTGTGGTTATGTGAGAGCATTTCGAGAGGAAGAGCATACTCTCCCCACTTTCGACCATACCAGGACATTCGGGAGCCATGGAGGTGGTTACTTCTCAGTGAACTTTTTTTTATTAAACTAGAGATGTATACATAAATACTTCAAGTAATATACCTTTTTCGAGCAACGAAATTGGTCTCAGAGGTATAAAATATTACAGGGCAAGGAAGCTAACATTTATTTCTCTGTTTTGTATTAAATCAATTTATTCAGACCTTTGTTGTTGTGCATTTGAAGCATTGCTGCAACTGTGATAGTCACAACATTATTTTCATATAGGACGAATAAGTAGAATTAATTAGTATATTAGCGACTAAACTAATCTGATATTTTGTTAAGGTCTTCTTGTGTACATTTTCTTATTCTACTGTTCATCTGAGTATATATAAATGAATAGTTTTAATCAATCATCGTTATTCTTAGTGATATCAGATTCTCTAAATCTTTTTTATAATTTCTGCACTTTTTTTCTATTGAACAGTAACAAATAATGAATTTGAAGATAATCATTCAGAATGTACTGATCCTAGTGGCTCCGATCATGGAACTGTATCAGCTGAAGCAATCCATATCAACAGATATAACAATAACTCCAATTCGTCAAATACAGTGATAAATTCACAAGTGACGAACTATCCGTCATCAGGATCTACGATAACAAATCACGATTTCCTAATCGATCCACATTTGCTTACTTCTCGCGCTAGTGAACCACTTAAAAGTTTAGCTAAACAATTACGTGTCAGTTCATCATATCGAGTAGAAAAAAAGATTGCACAGGCGATTGATGAGCTGGGCTTATTTCCCCTTAGTGTTTTACATCCAAAAGTTTCACCTTTGGTTGAATCCAAAGAAGATTGTAATCCTCACAATTTATCTTCCAGTGCATTATGTAATGATGCTGTTTCTCATTCAACAAAATTGATTATCCGAAAAAATAAAATTACTTCATCAAATCCAATGGAATCAGGTCCATTGAAACATTCAGAGGAAGTTCAAGATACTCTTGAGAAAAATCGTGTTTTCAAAAAATGCCGAGTAAATAATGACAAACCATTATCTCCTTTACCTGAGCATCACAGTATGTTTTTCTCATTATATTTATCTTTAGAAATATATCGTCTTTGCGTTTGCATTTATCCTCCAACATCTCGATTTTAATTTTCCCTTGTGTTTACATATAACAAGTAGTTCCTGACATCTTATTTTATTTTTAGTTATCACTTTGTGTCTACTTATAAGTAACATAAGTTTTATTCAAAACTTTTAACTACAAGCTAGAGCACCCAAAGCAGGTTGAACCATATGATTTACATGATCAGTTGCATTAAGAAAGCAGTTATTTCAAATTCTTTTTATTATAACTATGGAATAATTATATGTAAATAATTGTCAAGAAGCTGTAACGAAGTTAATGTGCCTAACCGAACTGAAGAAATTGAAGTCGAACACTGAACTTATTGCATAACCTTCCTATCGATAGTTATATGGCATGATGTGAGTTGAAAAACGGTTTTATAATACTGAAATCCTTAGGTGCATCATAAATTCACGGCTCGAGGTCTTAGGGATTGTGAAACTCGGTGACTTGAGCTGTTGTCACACATGCCTCGGAATAAAAGCCAGCGGTGATCCTGTTGTAGTCTTCCTCTACACTCTGTATAAAAGACAATTTACATTATTATTATTATTATTACCTTTATTATTATTATTATCATTATTATTTACCATATCGCTAACTCACCCCCTTTTATCCCCAATTTGTGTAACCTTACTTTTCAACTTATGCAGCAGCTCGCCCATGGTGGAAAATCTGTCCTATCTAAACGATCTGCAGTCACTGTCTGGTTGAAAGTGAATGCTTCCACCGATTATGAATACTGAAGCAGTCTTTCTGAAACCACGTACGCCGTTCAAGCTGGCTTCCTTCAACGTTCGCACACTAATGCATATCAGACAACAGATAGGGCTGGCTATGTCTTTGGAAGGTCTTAATGTTGATGTTTGTTGTCTATCCGAGACCCGTATTCAAGACTCTAGTGAAGTACTACAAATCCGCTCTCCATTTGTCGCCTCGAAAAGCTTGTTTCACGTGCGCTTATCCGGGGACCCTGTGGCATCTTCGTCTGGTCTTGCTGGCGTTGGTGTCGCACTAAGCGTTAAGACTGAGGCAGCACTAATCGATTTGATCCCCATTAACAGTCGGTTATGTGCTGTTAGATTAGAAAGTTCCATCAAAGTGAGAAGAAATCGGCGTGAGAAACGGTGTCTTTTTGTCATCTCCGCCTATGCCCCGACAGATTGCAGCCCGGATGCAATCAAGGATGAGTTTTACCATCAGTTAACAGTTCTTCTCCAGAAAGCGCGTTCGACAGATATTGTAGTACTAGCCGGAGACTTGAATGCACAGGTCGAGCGTCTAGGCACAGAAGAGAGTCGTTTAGGTGGCCGATGGGGACTTGTTGGTCGCAGGATAGATAACGGGGACCGTTTGCTGCAACTATGCACGGACCACAGCCTGTTTTTGGCCAGCACTAACTTCCGACACAGTCATCGCCGGTGTGGCACCTGGCGTCCTCCCTCTGCATCCCAAGCCTGTACTCAGATTGATCACATCGCGATCAGCTACCGCTGGCGTGGTTGTGTACAAGACTGCCGCTCCTTTTGGAGTACCTATCTGGAGTCTGATCATGCCCTGGTCTGCGCCAATCTCACCTTACTTTTCAGTGGCCGAAGGATTGACCACCACCAACGGATTGATGTTAGTAAACTGGCTGCAACTTCTGTTGCAAGTAAGTATCGAGCGGAGCTAGCCTCTAGGCTAGCTACCACCCCACCGAAAAGTATAGATGAGCATTGGTTGCATCTTCACGACGCCATGAAAATGGCGAGTAAATCCGTTCGTGGCTTCGCGAAACGTCCCGCTTACAAGCACTGGGTTTCTTCTGGCTCCTTACAACTGATGGAAGCCCGTCGGTCTACTCCGGGTGACCGTGAGTTTGATCACAAACGAAGGCTGTTACGTAATGAAATCGGGCAAAGCTTGCGTAAGTACCGGGAAGCCTGGTGGTCGGAGCGTGCTAATGAGATGGAAGCAGCAGCTGCATCTGGTAACTGCCGGAAGCTCTTCCAACTCATCCGAGCCACTGGCAGCAAGAAGTCTGGTGTGAGTGAAACAATCTACGAGGATGATGGGATGCCAATCACTAATATCTTTCGACGTCTTGGACGACGGGCGGAATTCTTCGAAGGGCAGTTCAACTGGCCTGCTGCTCCGGCAACATCAACCAGCTTGTCCTGCCCCCCCATGGCCGGTGACGACTGATCCACCAAACGAGGCGGAAGTCCGCAAGGAACTCCAACTCTTGAAACGTTACAAATCACCTGACCCAGATGACGTACCTCCGGCTCTTTTTAAAGATGGTGGTGACTTTCTGACTAAGGAATTGACTGTGTTGTTTGGAGAGGTTTGGGAACAAGAAAGTGTTCCAACATCTTGGAATGAGTCCATAGTCGTCCCTATCTTTAAAAAGGGTTCACGTTGTTCCTGCAATAACTACCGGGGGATTAGTCTACTTTCGATTGCGTCCAAACTATTGGCTTCCATCATTCTTCGTAGGTTGTTTAAAACCCGAGAACGATTGACTCGCGAGGAGCAGGCTGGTTTTCGTTCTGGTCGAGGATGCATTGACCACATCTTCACCCCCCGCCAAATGTTAGAACACCGTCATACTTATCGCAGGCCAACAATCGTAGTGTTTCTTGATATCAGGGCGGCCTTCGATTCGTTGGACAGGACTGTTCTCTGGGATTGTCTATTGAAGAAGGGTGTGCCTGAGAAGTTCATTAACATCTTAAAGGCCCTGTATATGAACACCTCAGGCAGAGTGAGGGCATACTGTGGTGTGGTCTACTTATATCCATATAAGTAGTGTATGGTGTGGGTCAGACATAGAATGTATTTTGGCAGAAGACCGATGAGGAAAGAACTGAAATGAAACGCAAACGTCTGGAAAATGTATGAGCAATGGAATAAGAGAAGAAACAGTGAAGATTGAAACAATTGGTTGTTAATTTGCAAATTGACTGTTCATTGTTCGGTAATCAGAATTTACTGAGATAGTCTATAATGTTTGCTTAAATACATTCGATTGTCCCCCAGTCGTGTTCTGTTCACTACACTCGTAGGTTTCGTTATTTTTATTCTTGTTTCGGGGCGAGAAAAAACAACTTGAATATCAGAATAAATAAAAATGGTGAAACCTACGACGATAATCAATCAAAAACAAAGTCAACAGAGCAAACCGATTTAAGTTTCAAAAAATAACTATTCAGCTCACTTCTACATGAAGTAAGCGCTCATGATGTAACAGTGAATGATTGTCACAATATGTAATATATTGGTTAAAGTTGACAATGCCTGAAGATTCTAAGTTATGTCACTGTTGTCAGGGTCATAATCGCACACTACTTTGTAGTCTCAAACTAGAAAAAAATATCTGTGTAATCCCTTCTGATTTTTAATGGCTGTTTATTCGCTATCAGTTTGTGACCAAAACTCATAATCGTAACTTCTGTGCTACGATCATCTGCCACATTACTCTACGTTATTAATTTCATTCACTCATGCTACATATATTTTATTTCTAAAATCTGCCGCCCTCCCACTATTCAAAAATCATTTGACCGTATCCTATTTTAAATAATATATGCTCATTTTTAAAATGTTCTTTGATATGAACTGGTACTTTTTCTTCTTGCTATCTATTTTCAATATAATTTTTTGTTTAGAAAATTTAACATGCGATTCACCACTGAGTTAATTGTCTTTGTGTCTGTGTGTGTATGTGCTCATTTCCGATTGTCGATCGTATGCATTGATCGCAAGTTCAATTAATTAATGATATCAAAGAGCATAGAGATTAAATCGCATTCACACAAATGCTATAGCACTTTATTCGTTTATAGAAATAAAACTTGATCTATTTAAATCAATATTTTATGTTCTCTTTGTTGTTTACAACCTGTTATTCACTATAATCGATTAACAAACACAAAAAATTCTTAATATCTGTGTTGCTTCGCTTAGTTCTTGTTGTTTTTCGCTCCGTCTCTTCCTATCTCTCACTTTCTATGGTTAACATTGTTACCATCATTTAAATAAATTCAACAATTGATTATTTATATTCATGTTTTGGGATTTCAACTAGGTGGTATTTTAAATAGCCTATCGAAAATAATGTGACACAAAATAGCTATCATTTGTCAGATGGATTTTTTCAGTCAACCAATGTTAAATAGAGTGCGTAATCTAGTGTATATACGTAGTTATATGTTATATTGCAATACCAAATGATGAGCAGATTAACCACATATATAAAACAAAGGGTAATGATAGGTTAATGTAATTTATAGGATGGTTGTTTTTGTATTGTTTTTTTTGACAAAAATTGTTTAATCCCGTTTTGTCCAATGAAACGATTTGTTTTAAAATAGTAATTATTGGTTATTAACTTTTGAAAAGTGGTATAAAACTTTAACATTTTTCAAGTGATCACCTTTTCTTCAAACTATGAACGTAAATAACTTAAAAAGTACTAGCCTTATTGTTTTTAACGTTGTCATGGACATTGATAACATGTTTTTGGGTACGTTGCATCTAACAGCATCTGTTAATGAACATTCGAGCACACATTTTCAAAAACCAGTTAACCAATCACTTATTTATGTTTTTCTAATCACATCAAAAAAATTTTGACCACTAGGGTTCAGGAACCACAATAACCGTGCAATAAATGTCAGTCGTGATTGGTTAAGCGTCAGTGGTGGACTTTCGTTCTCTGAGCTGGATGGAGAACAAAAACACTGAAATCATCCACTCGAGCCACAGATTTTCTCCATCACATCTGCCAGTGGTTGTGTAACGTTTTCTGTTTATTGATATCACGAACCAATCCAAGTTATGTTTTGTCCACTTTATGGGTAAACGATTTCCTTAAAACTTGATTTTAAAAGTAACACTTTATTTACCCCATTAAATATCGGATGCGTTATACAGCCACGGACAGATAACCTCTTAGTCAGCAAAGAATTTGAAATAAATTCTATCTATGGCAGTAAGAAGATAAACATAACAAATCCCATCTTAAAAAGAATACGTGAGATCAAATAATAAAAATAAAGAAAATTAAGCTTAAATTAAAGGAAACCAACATATAACTGCTTTACTGTGACCGACGTAAAACAAACCATGTTACAAAAATTGCTCAACCACAGCATTTGTACAAATTACCCATGTGGATCTCAACTAAATAATACCTCCGAGCATACAGCTCAGTAGTATTTACTTTTGAACGAGACTTGTTTCATATTGTTCACAAGTCTAGATTGATACTTAACTGTAGTATAGATAGAATTGTCCAAAATTTTATGCTTTGTATTTTTCTAAAGAGATAAAAATTGGTTATCTGAGATGCATTCCTTTTAATAACAATAGAGAAAGGCTCTCTTTTATTCATTGATAAAAAATGTCATATCACCACCCTTACTCCTCACTCTTGCTCATTTTGAAATAAGATCCATTTTTATATAAACGTAGTTTACAAGTCATTATTGTTTGATGACTTTCATTAATTATCATCATTTATTTAGATGTATCCATACTCAATTATTTCGCTAAAACAACCTGGTCATGAGCCCACTACAGCTAAAGCTTATTCATCATTAATCTTCATACTGAAGTTTTTGTCCTGTGTTTATTTCTCTCTCTCTCGATATATATATATATAATTTGAAAAGACTACACCTTATTCTATCCAAAACTGATTACATCGTTCTCTTCTTGCTTGTAGAAAATGCATCATGTGAACCAAATCCATCGGATATTGCACATTCCACGGAACTGTCATTGTTACCTGTAAAAATGGAAAATATCAATCCGATTGTCGATGATAATAATAATAATAGTAATAATAATAATAGTAATAATAATAATAATAATAATAATAATGGCCGAATTAAATCCACATGTTATATAAAAAAATTAAAACGAAGGAATTTAAAAATGTCAAAATCATTATGTTATAGAAATAAATTACGAAACACTGTGAATAGCAATAATACACATAATGAAATTCTATACAATGGAATAACTTCTTGTTTGAATGATTCAATGGAATTAAACAAATCGGTAATTTCTTTCTAGTAATCGTATATTATGTTTATTATTGTGTTAACATTTTAATTTAATCACTGTTTTGATACACTGATTGATTCTATTTTCATTTAGAATAATAATATCATGAATTGTTTAGCATAATTCTATTGTAGTGACTGGGAACTCAGGTGGGGAAAAGCGATTTGTTGTTTAGTACAAAATTACAGAATATCTTCGTGAAATACGAAAACCATACATTACAAATACTTCATTTGCATATCTCAAATCAATTTTTCTCACTACATCATTCTCTCATTCCTGTTGTTATTAAAAATACTCTTTGTTTACATACTCGTTCTCTTTAATTGTATCTTTTCAACCTTCTGCTGCCAGATATTTCACTTATGATTGGCGTTACATACTACTTATGTCGATAGACATAAGTAGCATACGCCACACATTTAATAACTAATTACCATAGAAAGTGGTAAATAACCTCGGTAGTTTGACGTTTCTAAATCAAGAACTACCCAATGTATATGAAAATTGATTATTTGACTAGAAAATATAAAATTGTGTAAAATTTTCAACCGTGTAATTTCAAATTGAATAATAACACCAAGTATTATATTATTAGACCTGTCAAACTGAATTGGAAATTCCTTTGTGCGACGTTACTGAATACTGAAGGATCTGTAATGTACTCGTATTTTCCTTTAAAACAGATAAGTAACAAATTTTCACAACTGGGCTCCAATAAACAAAAAATAAAACACAATCTCATTCATCGTCTGCGCTCACGAAATCGTAAAGTTTGTTCATTAAATCGTTTAGAGAATGAATTATATATGTCTTTAAAATCCACCTTCTAAAAAAATTCCTGTTGATATATATATATATATATATATATATATATATATATATATATATATATATATATATATACAATATAAATACAATATTCATAATAAAATACTGTCTATGAATCTTCAGTTTACGTGAGCTTTTATTACTAGTGACACACTAAAACACCGTTTGATGCGCCCAATTCAGTTGATATTTAATGCATCAAATCTTTGTGTTAACTACGATACTCACCTTTTTTGATAATACCTTGATACAAAAGGTAAGTTACCACGAATAACCAATCTAATATGTGTACAAAATACCTATTCACTTGTTCCACAGAAGCGGTTGATTTTATGGAGGTCACTTTTTTGTTTTACCTAAGATTTTTAATTTCTTAAATATTGTTAATATGATCTTTATTTTTTCCATGAAGAGTATTTTGTAAATTTATAAATGTTGTGAACTATCGTCCCTTCAATAAATATCCATTTATTCATACATTGTGTGTAAATTGCTCTGAATAACACATTTTTCAGTAGTATTCTTACACCTATATTTTCCTTTTTATTAAATTCAAGGATCGCATTCCTAACTCTCATCCTGGTCCTAACATTCCTACCGTCGACAATGAATATTTCAATGACCTGAATAATCCTCCAGGAAAACAGGATCTACATACTAATGTCAGTCCGTGCAGTCGTGATAGTTTCACTACTCAATTGTCGACGGAAAATGCAAAGCGACTAATTTATCCAACAAGTCCTTCTAAACAAGTCCACCATTCTCTAAGACATAATCGTTTTTCACCGAATAACTTATCTGGATTTCATTGTAATGGGGACTGTAATCCTTTAATTGGTTCGTTAGAGGATCATAAACCAGTTCTCGTAAATGGTGATTTATCATTATCTGAATTTCACAGTGAAAAATTGACGGAAAATGATAGATTATGTGATAAACCGAGTTCGAATTGTAATACTTTTGAGGGAGGTTATGAAGCAGCTCAGGTAAATTCTTTCTGTTATTTAAGTAAACTTTCTTAAATATTAGAAACATGTTTCTCTTACCTTAACCAAATAAATCATGTTGGAAAAGTTAATCACTATATGAACCTAAACATAGTCGATTTTATTAATAACAAAACGTTGTACAGTTTACACTAATTAATCACTGTGTTACTGGACAGCGTCAAGTCTTGTCTTTTAGTGTTGCTTGAATTCTACTGATGTCTCAGACTATGAGGTAAGGTGATATAAGTTTAAATCCCATAGGAAATATCAGTTTCCTCAAGATTACAGCTACTCTTTATTAAGCACAAGACCTAGTTCTGGAGTTTCCTAATAAGTTTAGGTTGTACTTTAGAATCAACCTTCTCAATCATCTCACTTTAGTGTAAAGGGTTTTTGGAAATTGTTAGTTTTCATAGCTTACCTCACGGGTTAATCTTGGTTAAATAGACAGTCATTTGAAACCAAGAATCACTTGACAGCTATTTCATCCTAGAATAGGACTCACCGGCATTGTGTACCCACAAACCCATTATGTTAATAATAATCATTTGATTTCTAGTGACAAATCTCGAGCGGTATTTCCCGGAGTTCTGGTGGAAAACTGTAACTGAGAAGTCCAACCATATTGGATATTTGGTAACTATCCATCAATGACACTGTAACGTGGTTGTGCATCATATCAAAGTAATTGAAATAAAGTGTGAAACATTGGTTACTAACCCACTAGTCTTAAGGTTAAGCGCTTATCGTGAGACCTGGAGGTCCTGGGTTCTATCTCTTGATAGGGTCGTGGGTGGGCGCTGTCGAGGATTCCCAGACTAGAATGAAACATTTATTTCTTCGTCCCTTTCTCTAATATTTGTCTGACAGATTTCAGTTTGTAGCGTAAACTATTCATACCACTTTAGTTTATTATATATTGGAATACCGGTTAACCGAGAGACTTATCATTCGGATCTAATTGAAACATATTGTTAATATTGTTGTTGGATGAAACTGGCTTTGATCTACTTCATTTCATGAAAGTCATTAACATTTAGTTAGTTTAAGTATCAATCTTTTCTTCACCTTTACATCACATCGTTTTTGTCATGATAACTACTACCTTACCTATAAAACACTATTTCATCTTAATGTAGTTCTAAAGTCGTGGTTGACATGTATTTAAATTCATTTGATTTTACTTTAAAATGCTTATGAAATACTTTTCAATTCGATAAGAATTTTATTCTAATTTTTCCTCAAGGTATTAGATTCCAACCTACACAGTTCCTTGAGCCAAATTAATGAACAATGTACTACTCCACTTCAAAATAGTCAACTTAAATTCAAAATGGAGTCCAACTGGACAGAAAGAACAAATCATTTAACAGGAAAAAGTAGTCATGAAGCTTCTCCTATAATCCAGCATAATGATTCAAAGTCACCAGACTGTGGTATCAACACAGTGGTTCAAAATCATATGCTATTTAGTCAAGATACTCCATCAACAGCGACTACACAGCATGGATCTAGTGCTGGTGATGATATTGGCTTGGCTATTATTCAACGTCAACGGGAACTGAGATTGTTATGTACGGCAAACCATCGAATGCTTCGGCGACTCGTACAGGCAGCTAGAAGAGATATGCAACGCCAAGAAATACAAAGGCGTCTAGCAATTGCAGATGCTGATGTAAGTTCAAAGCGGTTAGTTTTTTGTAGTAAGTTTTGGTTATAATTTTGTTTCAGACCACGTGATCCTGGTTCTCACTTGACTAATTGATTTGCCCAAGAAGACATCAAGTGAACAAATCAAATTAATTCGACAAAGTTTACAAGATTAATGAAATCGTGTACACTTTCATGTATGCGATACCATTGGTTTCATCCACAAGTTTCAACAAACGAATAACGACAATATTTGTAAAATTTGCATAATACACTATCTTTTCAACCTAAAATCATGACAGAAAAATATTATGATCTACTGCTGAAACTCCAAAACGACGACACTAAATATCGCTCCCGTGAAGAAAGCCCGCTTTCCCCCTTCAAATGCTCTCTCTGTCAGGAAAGGTTTAATCACTCACTTCACGTGGCAGAGTTGTTGTTTACGAATTTGAGAGGACAAAAAGCAAATATCCGGCGCCTAAACCAGGTTGATGGGTGCGGAGGATCTGCCTAAGAAAGTTGGAAATTCTTGAGTTCGAACCATTCGTCCACTGGGTTCTTTGATCCCAAGGAACAAATGTTGTATGAACCTATTGTTAGTCATCGGCTACCATCATACCACATCTAATGTTGTTCCACTGTATCTGAGTGTAGCCCCCCAATAATTCCATCTGTTTCGGTCCGGGTGCCCGGGCAGTATCCCAAAGCACACAAATGTAATGATAACTGATTTATATGACACATATATTTTGGTGTCTTTTTAAACCAATCTTTGTATGTTTAAATAAACAAAGTCAAACAAAAAAGATATCTCCCCTTCCAAATTAGCTTTGCATCGATTGCCTTCAAATAAAACCTTATTGTCTCTTGGTAACTTCCCCTACCTCATTTGAAATTGGTGAAACATAGTTATATGTTAATAAGTAGACGAAACAAGCTTTTAGTGTTTATTTTTAATATCATTTTTCCATGTTATTTTGAGTACAGCATAGCATAAATCGGTATAAATGAACATTTAATTATCTCGGGAAATAGAATTATAACTAATAATTTCATTGAAATATTCCATCATTATCTTAACACTTCATTTCATGGGATTTCAATAGTATAATTTCCAGAAATGAGATGCAGTATACATTTACGATAATAAAATTTCATGTAACCTTAAGTCAATGCATCAACGGAGAAATACATACAGATTAATGAACTCGGCTTTGAGACACATCAGCTTTATATATGTTGTAATTATACTATTATATTGTTTAAACTGAAGCAGATCTGAGAGATTAACATCCTAACCTACAATCTATTAGGTAAAATATGATTTCTTCAATCATTAAGTCATTATTTTAATTTATATCGTCATTATGTTTCACTAGAAATCATTAACACAGTTTTAGTTTACTATATAATTCTACTTTTGTGAAATAATTCACCAGCGTAGTAGATATACATTTTTCTCTAGAAAATGGCTCTTTTCATTAGTGTAATTGGTGTAACAGATAGTTTAAAATATTTTTCTCTCTCTCGAGTATACTGCGATAATAAGTTAATACGATAATAAGACAGGTCACGTTATATCAGATGTAGTATTCACAGCCTAGAATAGAGAATCAGAGTGTAGACTAGACAATATTCTGTTCAACACAATTGCAAGCAGTCACTCTCAGTGAGTTCGCAGATGTCAATAACAGGAAGGAAAATTACACATTTAGTGGTCAGTAAACTAAATGCCTGTTTGTTCACGCTCAGTGGAAAATCATATATCAATTTCACTACCACATATCAGTAATCCAATAAAGGAGTATTGTTTGTAAATGACATGCCTCAGTATGATTAATGAATAAAAAATATTTAAACGAATTATTTTTTTTTTTAAACACATAAATATTGGTACAAAGGGGCATCAGATGTATATGTGCCATACAAATCTCATTTGATTTGTGTGAGGGCTGTGATACTGCCCGAGTGCCCAAACTGAAGCAGGTGGTTTTCTAAAGGGGACACACCCGGAGCCTTCGACCTAAAGGTCTGATCCACAAGGCAGTGGAGCATCGTGAGGAGATGCATTCCCATGGTAGCCGGTGATCAACGATTGACTCATACACCATTTGTTCCCTCAGGATACTGAACCACGTGTTGGTGGACTTTCCGTGTCCACCAACCCGGTTAAAGCACCGGACATTCGCTTTTCGTCCTCTCACTTTCGAAAACAACACCCGTGGTGCGAGAAGGCAGTGATTAGGACTTCCCTGGCAGAGGCTATATACACGTGGCCATATGAGAGCATTTCGAGAGGGAGAGCAAACTCTTCCCACTCTCGGCCGTACCAGGGAATTCGGGGGCCATATCTCAACATCTTTATTAAAAAAATTTACTAGTGAATGATATGAAATCTCAATTTGTAAACAAAAATAATTCTTTTCTTTTAAATTGTTCAGGTTATTGAAGCTTATAATAAACTTGAAAGTTATCGTCCACAACGTAAACCTCCATTGAAACGTGATCGTGATATTTCATGGAAAGCATTAAAAGAACGTCGTAAAATACTTAAAGAATTAGAAGCATTTGATGCTAAATCTCCTTAAAATTTGTGATGATCAAAATGAATTCAACTTCAATAATGGATTAAATTCACTTTCATTGTATATAATTTAACCTTTATGTGTTAATTCTTTTTTATTTCTTAAAAATAAAAAAAACATTAATAATTGTAATATATTTAATTGATTATCCTATCATAGTAATTGAAAAATTTTGTTTTTGTTTCCCCCCCTTTTTTTAAATGTTATGTATAATCTCACATCAACATTTATAAATAGGTTTTGTATACTTTGAAACAATCTATTTTCTGTTCCTGTTCATTTTTGTGGTTGGTTTCCACTTTTTTCCAGCCAATTCTTTATATAATTTTCCTATTGTGGTTTTTGTATTCTTTATGTATGTATGTATGTATCTATTTTTTACTCTTATGTGAGTTTTTTTGTTCTTTTTGTACATAAATTTATCAGGTTTTTATTTAGTTCGTTTTTTTCTACAATTAAACTAACCGTTAAACCATGATGCTCAGCATTTTGTTCGATTCTCTTTTATGAGTTCATTGTTATCTTTAATGAAACAACAGTCTTTCTACTACTACCACGTTTGTTTAATGTATTTATCTATAATAAGCAGTAGATTTTAAATATACTATCTACCGAATAAGCATTATTCTTTTTTCCTGATTGTTGAAGTTAATATCGTGATACAATGTAATGTTCTACGTTATGACTGACTGATACAGTATAATATGTATCAATCATTACGTAATAACTGTGCTTTTCTTGTATAATACATTGTTGTAGTGAATCATCTAAATTATCTGAGTTGAGATATCTTACGAATATCAGTCTAAATTGTGGAGGGTTTCCTTTGCCAATAATTCATAACGGATTAGGATGCTATCAAAGCTAAAAGTGACCACAGAACAATTATTTCATTCCAGTATGGAGTACGACTATGTCAGAAGTAAGAAAGTCATTGGAACTAGATGATTTCCGTGCTACATCGCGGATTAATTGAAGTTGGAAATGTGGGACACCTGATTCCGATTCATAATGGTCTATGAGTTAAGTGCTCACTACCAAACTTAAATATTGTGGGTATGCATTGGTCAAGTGGTGTCTGCGATACGACATGACTGTAATCATTGAAATTTTACTTCTGAAATAGCTTTACTGGTTTCCCTAAGTAGGTTCAATCTATTACGACATGTTTCATTTTCACTACATTTAAATAAACACGGGTAATTCAAGCAAAAAACACTATATTCTCTAGTTAATGTGATAGTTTATTCCCAAATTCATGTGGTAATTCTATCAACTAAATCTGAAAATTAATCTTATCCTTGTAATTCTGACATTCTACTAGTGAACTGATTTTTGAAACCTCTTAATAATTTTTTATAGGTTTAAATAAACTATGTAGATGTACTCACTCTATGTATACATTGATTCTCTTTCGAGATTTAAAGCGTTTTAGTTTAAAAGATCAACTCAGCTCATCTACATTCGCAAAAATAATTTGAGAATAAAGTAACTCACTCGTATTACTTGCTTCTATTGAAGTGTTTTTTTTTGGAAATAATCCAAATAAGATTTAATTAGACTACAGTAAGTTGACTTGGTTTTAAGCTACATTGAGAAGTATGGTCTGATTCTTTGCTTACATGTAGTTTGGAATAGACATGTTTGATTCTTTGCTCTCGCATAAAATCGGTTAGGAGTACTGTAGAATGAGTCATGTATGTGAAATGGCAGCTTAATGATTACAACGAATTCAGATTAATAGGTTGCAGGTTCAAACTTCCTCCACCAACTTGGGTTTAGACCACTGTGTAGTATTATTAGTCTTCACACTAACAATGTAATTCAGAACTGACTACATAAACTTGTCTTTGATCAACTAGTATGACTGTTATATAGAACGTCCATCTTCACATAGGAACTTAGAAAACATTAACTAAATAAAACCCATGATTCTGATAGTCTGCATTTTTAAAAACCTGGAATGGCTATCGACTGTTACAGAATTGTAAACATTTGTGCTCCATCACTTAATGAATCAGGTCCGTAAAGTAAAGATTTGAGGTTAGTTGCTTACGAAAACTGTTTTTGTTTCTGCATTACAAAATATTTCAATCGTTAGAAACTCCATATACAGATAAGTAAACCGATAAAAATGCATTACATTTTGACTGATAATGTAAAGTTAGTCTACATTATTGTTTAAAGACTAGTATCGGATGGTTAAGTATATTACTCTGGTTAAGTTACTTGTCTCTTGATTCAATAAGCTTATATATGCTGTCTTAGATATTCTTTCTTGGGTATATTTGTATCTTTTTATTGATAATATAAATTTAAACGTTATTGTCCATTCAATACACTCGATTATACCTTCACTAATAATTGCTTAAGTAAGACTGAACCTCAGTAAAATTTGAGTGTCATACGACCCATTTTTGTATTTTTCCAACACTGAAATGATAGCTTTTAATCAAAACCACTCAGCTGACATAATGACTTTAGCTAGAGACTAAATTTCCATACTAAACATTTGGACAGTTAATAAGGAATTATTAGTCTCTCCTTAGATAACACGGATCATAATCTGCAGTTTTGTATGGATCACAATATCATTCCAACCGATGTTATTTTCTAACAGCTATTATTGTTGCATCAGCTGGCATTATTTTGAACTATTTGCTGAATTCCGTGCTCAGACTGAAATATAGTGTTTATCGTAGAGTGGCTTTGTATTTTCAATATCTGCAAAATTTCCGTCCTAAATTGATCGATATAAACAATATAACTATATCTGGTTTTACAAACCATAGCTAGATTTGAACTCAACTACTCTTCCATTTAAAAATCTGCTCCAACATTAGTTTCACTTATTGTACACTATAAAAGTTATCGATAAAATACTGAAAATACCAGTCAATGTTTGTACTTATTTCCTTTCATTACGAAATCTTTTTTTAAAAACCTTTAAGGACTAAATTCATTTAGTATTGTTTGTTTGAATCTTCCCGTCGATAAGTTAGGACTGACTGCAACTGGTCAGTCTCTAATTGGCATATGTGCATACTGTGCGTATTGCCTCGATATAGCCTTAATTCACAAGCATGGTAAGCAAAGATTGGTAGTGGCTAGCAGTGGAATCCAGTTTGACGCGCGTTTCGTCCTATTTTTGACTCGTCACCTGGATGTACTTGCATTTGAGAGTTGATGTTCACTCCGGGACTCGAACCCAGTACCTTTCAGTGGCCGAGTGGATAACGCGATGTCGTTTGAAGCGAAAGATACTGGGTTCGAGTCCCAGAGTAAACATCAACTCTGAAATACAGGTACATCTAGCTGACGAGTGGCAAATAGGACGAAACGTGCGTCAAACTGGATTCCACTGCTAGCCACTATCCATCTTTGCTTTAAGAACTAATTTTTGAAGGATTGTGTGTCGTATTAATCATGTTTAGTTACCTCACATGTAAATATTTTATTTTTGTTTGGAAATCCCTTTTAACTTATGTCGTCTTAATTAGTTCAAATTTGACTAGTATGAAAATATCTAATCAACGAATTCATTGTATTGTTCATTGTATCTTGTGTCGGACTTTAGTAAATAAATGGAATACATCAATGCCTAAATTGATAACTCATGAATGATAATTTAATAAGTTCATTTTATACTCCCAGTTATGATTGTTTATTTGACTTCAAATGCATTAAAAACATTTGCTTATCCTAGAATTGAAGAATATTCTAAATAAGTAGTTTCTTCTTATTCATCAATAAATACAGTTTGATAAATGTTACCAGGTTATTTCGATAGATGTGATAAGCTTTGATTCACGAAGCATCTGAATATTTCCGAATTAATTTCAAAATTAATGAAAGGATAATTTCATTTTTAGAATCTTTGGCTTTCAGTCATTAGATCAGAAATTTGAACTTGTCTCCTCTACTTCATTTTGGGCGAACATCGTATAATTCAAACCCTACTAAAACTATAATAAATTAACTCCTACTTAATAAATGAGTTAAATTGCATTGCTTACAGGAGTTTTATAGCCAACAATTGATCACCTATTATTCTTAGTCATCATCAAAATTATCCATGAGTAGATGTATGTCATAAAAACTTTAGTTGGGTTTTTCTATTTAATGAGTAATATTTTTGTCTTATTAAAGGTAGCCAATGAAATCATATAAGTATTATATTTAAAATCATAAATACTAACAACACAGATTCCAAATTTTACAAAATCTTAGTATCTGACCTATCCATCAAACCAGTTGAAGATTACTAGTTTCTTCAGTGTCGCTGAGAAATAGATCTAAGAATATTTACGTCAATTGGAGTCAATTATTTAAAAATCTTAAAAATATGCTTATAACTGTCTTGTAATCTCCTTACATTTGATTGTCTATCGTATATATCACATGTACATGTAAGTATTTTATTCTAAATCTTCAGTTATACTACTTACAGCTACCTATTTTAATTGACTGTCTTTCTTTATTCTTTTTCCGAATGTTGTAAATTAGCAGTTTACAAGAAACTCTTCCCGTCTCTTGAATAAGAGA